TGTTAAGATGAAACACTAACATGGCACGTTGATTGAAAGGGATGCATAGTGGTAGTGGAGCAGGTGTTTATATGAATGAGGTGTTCTCATGGCTGCAAAAACATACCTCTAAAGAAGTTTAATACCAATTCCAACCGTGTGAAGTGTGTTTTTATTAGGTATAGTTACATGTACTGTAGTTAGGCTTTATTAAATGTACATGCATGCAGGCCTTTGCCGTTTAATCCATTGCCTCCAGGGACTGGGTAGTCCCTGTATGAAGCTTGTAGGAATGAAAGAATTCAGGAGTCAAAAGGTTTATAAAATAATATTTGTGAATTCTTGTCTACCACTCATGTTTGTATTGCATGCTTGACATTCATAACACTCAAATATTATTATTGGCCATTATCATGAAACTCTTGCAGTATAAATAGGAATTGATTCCTGCCAGCTACTCGTTTATCATCTGGGTCAAAGTGGCGCTGCCAGTGTCTCGCCAAAGAATGTTTATGAGGTGGTAGGGACTTGAATCCCTTACCTTGTGATCCATAGCCTAGTGACTCATCCACTAAACCACATAGACAAAATATTGGTAGATATGTAAATAGTTATGGGAGATTGATAAATTGCTTGATTAGATGTAACAGGCTCTGCATATCACTTGCAGTGTCACATACTGTAGAAATACAAGTTACATTATATGAAGCAGTGGGAATTATGCTTTGTTTGAAAGGTGACGAGTTGCATTGCATGAAACATGTGAGCAAGAGGATAGATTACTATGAAAACATGAGAAAATCAATAATGGGAGCGTAGACCCTGGAGCATGAAAAATCATTCCATAAATACACAGTGCCATAAGCTGCTATGAAAAATCAATCACTGTTATTTGTGCTGTAAATTCTAGTTCATATTTATGTATCATGATACATACTCTCCCCTCTTCTGAAGACTTCTGAATGCATATGGCCAAACTGCAATGTATTTTCTGTAGGTAATTTTCCTGGACAATGTTTCCCTGCGATTTTTGCCACTGTATTGCCATAAAGAAAGATTATTCGTCTGTATTTATTTAGGCCTTTATTGGAGAAGGCTTATAAATGTATTTGAATAAACTTTGTTATGGGTGTAATCAGTCAAATTAAGTAGACTGTGTCTATTATAAGATAGTGGATGGCACTTGATCAGATGATCGTTTTGACAGATATATCAAATATTTGCAATCAATGTATGATGTCACATGTTAGTTGTTAGATCTCATTTATGGTGACACATACCGGTATGCAAGCATTTACTGAATTCATTACAGGTGCAGTTGTTATGTCTGTGTGTGGAATTAAAGCATTATGTCGCCTGAGCAATGATAAAGTACATGCAGCCTCAAACTTGCTTGCTTGAGCGTGCTATTACCCAAGCGACAAAGTGATATCCAAGCAACGAAGTGTTACCCAAGCAGTGAAGTGTTGCTCGGGAACATGAAAATACACACCAAATGGAAATTTATTGAAGCTACTTTTTCACTCATAAGTATGATGAGCCTCTGCACAGTATATTGTCTTTTACAAGCCAGAAGGGTGTTAACTTTGTGCTTCAGTATATGAGTAAATACCCTTCAAGAAAATATCATAGATATTATCGATACAGATAGAGAAAACTATCATAGGTTTGGGTTATTATAAAATATGGGTTTTTAAGCATCTAGCAACCTTATATTAAATGTAGTACCCAAGCTTCATCCACTCCTGTAGACTCTCTCAATCGAAGTGATTCTGCACACAGCATCTTACTGACTGCTGCCTTGAGATCAAAGGAGCAAAGTTAGCTTATACAGTAAATAGCCAGGATGCTTTTGTTTTTGTTTTTGTTCATTTTATTCGGCATAGGTTTACACACAAAAATAAGAGGTACAGAGTAAAGAGAATCACGTTGATGCTAGGCAAGAGAGTTACTCAAATGCCATATATTTTATTCATGGTTACTGTGGATACATTCAGAGCCTCTAATATTCTATGTAGATAAATGTTCTATAGTACAGCATTCAACAAGGCTCAAGATTTGGCTTCCTACAGTATATAAGCTACTCATTCCTGCTGCAGCTTATGCAGTAATAAATTGAGTTTGCTGGAATCATGTGAGCATCAATTGTGGATGACGCATTTCTGACATTCCAAGGATGTCCTGGAATGGTGAATTTCACTTCTGCATATGACACAGGGGATATCCCAAGTATGTAGGAGAGTGAGGGATATTCGTGAAGGGGGGAGGGGGGTAATGCTTTAACTGCACACTGCTAATTTATTAACTTTTTAACTTAAATAATATACTTTTGCAGTTCTATTAGAGATGTGCTACTTATTTTGATTTCATTTGTAACATGATTTTGTTGTTTTATGAACCAAGTCCAAGCTATAATGTCCCTTGTTTAATCCAAACCACTCCTAAACTTATAGCATACGGTATCTGACAATTGGATTCATTTGCAAGCCCTACTAAATTACTAATAGCTTGGATGATCAGACAAATATCAAGCAACATGATACTTTTGGGGTCCATCATACCTTTCTGCAAAATGCCATAACAAATGGTATTGTCCTATAGCCAACTTGATTAAATGATAATTTGAATGTTACATTCATGATCACTAATTGAAACACAACTTAATCTGTCCACCATGTATGAAAGGCATCTCATACCAAACAAGGATGGAATACATGTATGTCTGTTGACATTGATGTTAATGTATGACTCTCATCCGATATGCCTATTCGTGCTACATCTATAAATGAAACCGGATGATGTGTATCACTATATATATAATGTCTCTCCAAGTTCATGTTTCTATTAAAGCTCCATGACCAATTAGCATGAATGAGTTGACTTGTATGTCACCCTAAATGTTTCTCTAAGATCATGTATCTAACTAACATGTGCATCTACAACGGAAAGGAATGACTATACAGTGTACATGTATACGACTGGTACACTGTATGTTACTACATGCATACTGTATATCTGTGAGTTCACATTTACTACTTGTATATATCTACAAAATCTACATTGAAAATGAATGACTTGCAAGTATGTCACTACATGTACACACACATATCTCTTAGTTCATGTTTTTAGCTACATCTATATGTACAATGGAAATAAATGACTTGTATGTCACTACACATGCATCTTTGAGTTGATGTTTAGTTACGCTTGACATTTGTGATGAATCATTTCATCCTCCGCTGAGCCAGCCAGCCCGCTGCCTTAGATGTTGGGCATCCGACCTAACCGGTGTTTGTCTCTTCACTTCACAGAACTTATCATGTGCCTAGGTGCCTAGAGATGGGTAGTGAAGGCCCCTGCAAGATATCGATTCTAACATGTCTAGAGGATATTTTGTTTATAGTTTGTTTGTACATCTACATGTATGTATTTCTTCAGAACATTGATCTATTATAGGCTAGACCACAATGTAAACAAGAGGTTTGATACTGATAATACATGTAGTTCCATTACTCAAGGAAACTTGTAAATTTGAATGCTTCTTAATCCGTATGACTTCTTTGATATATAAACCAGCAAATGAAGATTAATTGATAGTCATGCAAATCTTTAATAATTGGAGAGGAAGGGATTTTATTTCAATCTTTGTTTTTGTGTTTATACTAAGCAGTATCAACAAAATCATCTTCATTAGTATTTAGTATTACCCCTTATCACTCTTTCAATTTATGCAGTCATTCAGTCATCCTCTCCCTCAATAAGCATTTTCATCCAGTGAACATCTCTTGCAACAGATTTCTTGCCTTGAATGCTTATTGACCTTTAGACAGTCTGTCCTCCTTTACAAATTCTCCCTGATTTGTATAAAGTGGGGCTTATTCAGAAAATAGCTACAGACCCTTGGTGAAAATTCTTACATTTTCTCCAGGCAGTGCCTACGTTGGTCTTTCAGAGAAAATTAAGTGAGAGAGACGCAACACATTATTCCTAAGCCCCTTTTTGACCTTCCCCATTTCCCTCCATCTCTGTTTTATCGCAACAACGAGACATGTACCTTGAGCATTTCATGACTTTTTTTATACCGCACCGGGAGTTTGCCGTGAGTTCATCCTGACAAAATTACCTTCATTACTCTGCTATTTGTAGATGTGCAGGGTTGGGATGTGTGCATGAGAAGGAGCAGGGGGGAGAACAACTGGCGATAGATGAGCATCTTAACGAGGAATGTCAGATTTGCTCCTCCATCCTCTATCCTTGCAGATGACTGTAATAGCAGTGCCATAATTGAATAGCTTGCCTAGCAAGCAAGACACATGGGGCAATTTAGAATTCATATTATTGTCAATTGAGTTATGTTTTTTCCTTTTGAAAATAGATAGTCATTATAACATTCCTGTGATTATGCTGTTAGATTGCCTGCATCAGTATCTGTGATCTCCTAAACAATTGTTGATTAAGTTCTGGTTTGGTATGATTGACAGATGAATAGTAATCACATTCTTCAGTTCATTTGAATCTCTTAGGATCTGGTTTACATTGAGAACATTTTAGAAAGGAAAATGCCAACAGATTAATGATAGTTCCCCCCTCTCTCTCTCTTTTTCTTTTATTCTCTCTTGAATGTCATTTTGATTTTGATTTGAATACAAAGGCAAGATTTATCCAAGTGTGGTTTTCATTCTATTTAATTCAATGGCTCTGTGCATACATTGTGTGCCATTTCATCGATACAAATATGACATTGAATCACTTATTAGCTCAGGAATAACAGCTTGCTCTGTCTACCCTCTCACCCCTCTGTCTGTCTGTCTCTGTCTGTCTCTCTCTGTCTCTGTCTCTTGCTTGCTTTCTGTCTCCCCCTCTGTCTCTCTCCGTCTCTCTCCCTTCTCTCTCCCTTCGCTCGCTCTCGGACTCTTCAATTTCTTGAGGCAAATCAGACTTGCACAATTTCAATGCTGCTACTATTTGTAAAGCTATTTACCGATAAACTAATTTATTCCATCATCATCTTATCTTTACAGCCGACACCCCGCAAGACCCCAGCTAAGCGAGGCTATGGTCGCCAGGTGAGCCGGGACAAGGATGACAAGGCCGCGCAGGGTGCGAAAGACTCCAACAAGAAGGACGAGAAGGAGAGCCGAGCAGCCAAGATGAGGGCAGCGAGGGAGGAAGCTCGGAAACGACTGATCGCTGCCAAGAAGCAGGCAGCAAGGCAGAGGATCCGATCCAACAGCAGCGAGTCGGAGGTGGAGATCTTCACGGCTAGTGGACAGCAACAGTCATGAGTTTGAAATGATGGGATGGATAGAAAGATCTCTCGTTCCGTCAATGGTGTATCAATACATCAACTATTTTTTTTTTTACCCAGGTCTAATCTCGCTTTCTTGAAAACATCCAAGATCAGACTTCCATCCACGCTGTTCATCAGATGTAATGCCCTTTTGTAAAAATATTTAAATTCTTTAACAACATTTCATAATGTCTATGGATAAAGCATTCTGATGATTCTGTATTAAAGTAATAAGATACAATTAAATAATACATGTATGTTCAATTTGAGTCCAGTGAATGTACATAAAAGTGTGTTTTAGTGGGGTCCATGTTCTTAATACAGTAATCATCCAATGCCAAGAACTTGCCAGTTCAGGAATAGATGAATTATTTCTGATAGGAAATCATTTTCCCTAGTTGAGATATATATGTAGTCCAGAGGAAGGCTATGACATTGTGATAGAAATCCTAAATTTTGACTAAATAGCACAGGAGGAAAACCTTTCATGAAGATCACCAAAAGTAAGCTTCATTGAAGAAAATAAAAATGACAAGGATAAGGTTTCCCATAATACAAGAATAAGCATCATCAAGTGGTTTATGTTTAGCATCGGCGTCATTGACCAGAAAATGACAACTCCACTTCCATGATGCTACGTGTAGGAGAGGAAGGAAATATGCTTTGAATCATACGTCCTCTTCATGTAAAAAACGTAGCTCAATGTCAAGATTAGGGAAGAAGAACAGACATGTCACTCTTTGAGTCAGCCCTTCCGATACAATGACGTAAATCTGAGAAGACATAAACAGAGCTCAATTCCTGCTTGTAATAGCAAAGCTTCTTCTTGTGATTTCGGAGTGACATTTTTTTTCTTCAAGGCTCATATAATTTAAAAGTGAAAGTGATGATGAGCAGTATAGATTTGAAGGTTTTCATCCCTAAGTATACCTGAATTCATTGTCAACTTCCCAGAAATCTTTTCCATCAACCAGAAATCTTTTCCTTTGACCAAAGCAGTAGAAAAGCACATGTGAACTTATAATCAGACTTTAAATAATATCCTTGTTTATAGTCAATTTTATAACAATTTGTGAGCTAATATTTTCAAAAATGGATTGTGTTAAACTAACGTTAAGAGTGATTCCTTTTCACAAATAAAACTGCTGATGTCATAATGCTTCATTCCTGTCGCTTCCCTTGCTACAATTCTTCCTTCCATTTTTTCTACTTGAAGAACTGTTTCTTAGTGTTTACTTGCATAAACAGGGAAATGACTTTCGATAGAATCAGAGAGAATTGAAATATATGTATAGAAACATTTTCCAAGATAAATATTCTGGCAGATTAGAAAATATGGGAGAAATGCTCATCAAAGATCATTACTACATTTATTGATGCAGCTAAATACATTTATGACTGAATTAAGACATCCAACTGTTTCCGGAAATGAAAATTCAAATGAATGAAATCGCAATAAAATCAAAACAATGATAACAACAACAACAACAACAAGTTGTGGTACTTTGTTTTGGACATAAATTCACCACTAGATAGATATCATAATAAAGCTGCTAAGCAGCTATATCCAACAGAGGATGTTGTTTTTGTCTAGAATGACATATGTACATCTTTGTAAAAAGATTTAAGGAAGTTGCCTCGCTGGTCACCAACCTTTAAAACAAAAATAGCTATCTCTATCAGCTACAATTCCAAACATCCGTTCTAAAGGGACCTCTTCTTATTTCACTTCCTGTCAATTATCAAATAAACCTTGAAGTAGATAAGTTGAGTTGGACCATATCGCCTTTACTCTGAGATATATATGAATTGTTTTGATTATATCACAATCCTGTTTCAGTTTTGCTTACAAGATATCTCCATTCTGTACAAGAGCCAGTCATTAGATAATAGAATATCTTTGGATTTAGGACAAAGGAAACATTCCTAATTTTGTTTCTTAGGAGCCAGAAGGGCATAACTATGTGTTGAATGTTCCTACTTTTAAATCGCCCTTCTGCTTCTGAGCAGGCGATTACATCAAGTGAACACTACTTGCTTCAAATGTGAAAGATTTGTAACCTGTGACAAATGCATGCATAAAGTGCATGGCTTTCTTGTGCCTTATGTTGGAGTTTAAAACATGTGATGCTGCACTCCTGTGCCAACTAGCAAATTAAGCATACCTAATGAGTGCAGGCTTTGGGAACTAGCCAAATGTTCTTATTGCTCATGTAATAATGTAGGTACGCTCTGTTACTCATTGTAGTAGAGAGTGCCAAAGTATTACCCCTGCAACAAGCATGGGTCATCTAAAGCATCTAATGTCATCAAAACTTGCAAGGTCTCCCTATGCCGCGAGACATTGTGATAATTGACAGTCGCAACATTTATGAGAGGGATAATTTAACAGGAAGAATTTCCCTAGAAGTATGGTCAGAAACTTTGCTCTGTCAATTGTGAAATGATTAACTTCCATGATCTTCTAATGTGTAATTTGGTATTTTATTGTTACAAAATCAAGAGAAGCCAGTGCTTCATTTTCTTTAAAAAAGTTATGTATTTTGATACAATCGAAGTAAGATTTAGTAGTCAGTAAGTGGAGTCAGTAAATAATGTACTCATTATTTATAAATGTACGACCAAATACAAGCTAAAAACAGTAATATGTAGCACTGTCATCCGTTACCTCACACTTTACTAACCACTCCAAGTTTTGAATGACCATCTTTGTTGTAATACAATACTTTGGCCATCATGGGCAACTCTCAAATGTGACATTTTGTGAAGTGGTTGCCTTGACTACCGACCAACAATGCTGGCATTCCTTAGATGACTACTTCAAGTAGGTCAAATACCTTGTTGACCTAGCTCTTTTGCATCAAATATTCAAAGGAATGTTGCAGTGTTTCCTGAACATGATCATTCAACTTGATATTTGCATGGAATGTGACTTTCTTTGTATGTAGAGGTTGCTATTGACATAATCATTAAAAATTAGGATGGAAAGAATTGTGATCTTTAGGAATATGTTTTCAATTTATTGTAAGTCACTTTATAAATGCTCCGACAGTATTAACCACTTCTTGTGAAGTGTTTTGATATGGTGCATGAGTTTGAAAAAATAATCCATGGTTGATATTGTAATAAAACCAAGCAGCATTCAAATGTTGTGCTTGTTTGAGGGACATTTCATCACATACATATTTAATTAACATAGCTTTGGCCTGCTACTATCATACATAGAATATGCTGACCTTGCATGAACAACATAGGTTTAGAATAAACAGGTGTCCTTGTGATAAAGGCAAAAGCAATGTTTATTTTGCTCTCCCTCTTTTAGGGGCGTTGGTCTAATTAAGGCTGAAATGGGGTAGGATGTTATTTCTTTAGAGGGTATGATTGTAGACAATTCATTGGCATAAACATGCAGTCATGCATAATGATGATCTGTATTTGTTTGAAGATTGAGTGGGGTAAACAAGGATTAGCATCTTGCTGTACCAGATTATACAGTTCTGATGAGAATATTCAGAATAAATAGTCTGTAGCTAATGTTTCGAGGACACCAGACACTAAATGTGGGCTGCATTGGCAATGACCATATGTGCACAGTTTGTAAGCTTTGTGCAAAGGAGGCCTGAAAAAGGGTTGATGATTTAATGGAAATGAGAGGCCATGACAATTATTATTATATCCAAATTTATAGAATCAATTGTGGATTTGGAAAGGGGCACAAATGTCTCACCCCTTCCCCTTTTTGAATCTAAATGGGCAGGCCTTAACTTCACAACAACAAATGTAATGTTCTGAATTGTGCCCCCCCCCCTTCACCCTTGTCAAAATCCTAGATCAGTCCAATTAGACTTACTGAAGATATATTTGAGTAATCCTTAAATGTTGATCATAACATGACCTTCACTGTTTTTCATTATCTTTGTCTGTCATATTTAATCTTTGTATGTCACTCATGAAAGTTATAATGTAGCAAATGTTTGTAAGATACTGTGTCTACGCTTTTAATGTACATGATGTAATGTAAAGCTAAATTATATTGATGTAAATCTTGTAACATAATCAACTGCACATTTGTACCTATACAGACACTTGTACTCACATACCAACAATCACAAATATATTTTATTTATATCGGCAAAGAATATAATTTTGTATAAGCAGATATGGTGCATCTATATCATTTTTTGCCAAGGGACAGAGTTATATATGTAGTTTTGCATGTCTTATTTATTATTGCAAACTATACCATACCTATAGAGTACAATTATATCTTTTTTATTGCTTGATGAATAATGCAACTCTGGATAAATCAAACACTTGAGAAATGAATAGGGCTGCGTACATGTATCGTCTAGTAACTAATGAGAATATATATATCTATATATCTATATATGTATGTATGTTTGGTATTGTCACATTGGTGTAATGGCTTTTACATGTTCTTGTTGCTGTCTTTGAATTTAGTAACTGAATCGATGTATCGCTGTCAGGAACATAGTAAAAATGTCTGTTCTATTTAAAGGTATTGGTTAACATGGCAATATTGGCATCCCATATCTTATCTGGTGAGCCATTATTTTTATTTTCTAACATATCTGAGGAAATAAACAAATTAACAAAATTTAAAGAACACGGAGCATATCTGCCATTATAGATCAATTCCAACATTTAAGATTAACACATCTTCTCTTCATAGACAGGGGGGGCTAACGATGTGTAAAAGTAAAATGAATGCCCTTCTGGCATTTTAGCCATTGATTGTGATTATCTTCTTGGTAAAGACTTTGGAAAACATTAATCTGTCTAATCATTCTGAAACATCCAGGATTTGAAATCTGGAGATGGTTGTTGGTTAACCGGTGCCTTTTTAGTAGATGCTTACCGTTTCTTTGCACCATTTTCTAAACCTTGTAGAGAATTATCCATATAACATTATATGTAAGTGCTTTGTAGAAAGGAAGATATTTGTAAAATGTATGTTTGTAACCTACAAGTAATATACTCTTGCCAGAATTTCCCCATCACATTCATGCACTAATACTGGGCATGGATTGATTTTTTGGTATAAATAATGTCAACTTTTAAAGAAGTACGGTATGTGTTTATTATAGACATTTTATACTTTTTTCATTCATATGGCTTTTGTAAGTTGCCACTGTTTAGTGAAAGTGGGAAGGAAAAAAGATAGGCTGAATACATTTTTCTTTTAAGACAATATACACATTCTACTTTCATTGTACATTTTGACAGAAACAGTAAATTGCCTTTGGTAACATATCAAAGACGGTATGAAGAAAGAAAGAATATCATATATGAAAACTCTAGTAATGACGCTAAAGATATAATGCAGATTTATCCCAGATTATTCCAGTTTGTTTGGGTAGATGTTGTAGTCTTCTGTGACACAGAATCAGCCCATTGGATTATATGTGAAATTATAGGCATTGTGTTGGGCTGCAGCTCATAGAAGTGTTAGGTTTTGAAGCTTTACTGCTTGCTCTTAAAATCAATCATTTTGAGCTTCATTTACTCCTCAGACTTGCCCTCTGTGTGTCTCTGACATTGATGAAGTACTTCATTCTTTAATCCATAGAGCCCCCCAAAAAACTCTCACACTTAAATAAATCATCTGTTCAGAGCCAGATGAAATCTTTGACCCCCCCCCCCTTTTCATTTCTTTCACAAAACTTCTCAGCATTTCTTTGTTGTTAACAATGACCTTTTAAATTGCAATAACAGTTTGAAAGTTTGGAATCAAAGGCACAAATTTTGCCCCTAGCTAAGATTGGTTTTATGTTATATTTATGTCTGCTGTTTCTTTTATGTTTTTATCAGACTGAAATTTTGCAGATTAATAACCCCAGATGTATACCTATGTCAATCTTATATGGTGTAGAGGTTTGTTTTTATGGCTAAGGACATGTATGCTGTGCTTATATTTGTTTTGTTATGATTGCCTTTTTTTATTACTGAGGTGTTGTAAAAATACAACCATTTAACACTAATGATTTGCAGTAGCTATAAAGTATTTTATTGTTCAGTTATTCTGTTTCAACTTCTTCCTCATTCTATGGTTCATACATGAAGTTTCATGTTTTTTAATTATCGTAATGCTAAAGTAAAATCTACATGTCATATTTCTATATTCAATCATTAACAGGCTTGAAGATATGAATTATCCATACACATTTCTGCTTTATAAAGGACCCTATATGGTAGTGGTTTCATTTAATAATCTACCAATTTATTTTCCAATTGAAAGATGCTTGCACTTTCTGCTTGAATGTGGCAGTTTCAATTGCAATTCATAACTTAAAGGTATTACTCGGTGCTTGGTTAAGGTTGAAATTAGGTGGAAAATTAATTGTCGAAGTGGTACAAGACCAATTCAATTGAAATTTTCTTTCTTCGAAAAGCATTGAAAGATACGTGAGGACCAAAGAGACATGGTTTTCTGATTTAAATCATTTTGAGCATTTGTTTCTTAGGAATTCCCTATTCTTTTTTAGATTGATCTTATAGGCAGACCTTCTTCTAGGTTTTTATGAACAATTACATCCACTAATTATTTAGTATCAAGCTAACCAGTCATATTGCAGGATTTTTGTCATGTTCCAAACACATTAGAAAAAGTAAGTAATTTAAAATAAGAATTCATTGTCAAATGTGATATCTCAATAATGCAGGCATTCCAAACAAAAAATATAATGTTTGTGTGCTGACCTCGTCTACATCTATATGTATTTGAAACTTTTCTATCCCTTTATCTTTATCCAACACTGTGTATCATTGCTAACCAATGACACATTCCAATTTGACAGTCTTGTATCAACATAACTTTTCTTTCAGTTTGTTCATTTCATATTTTGAGAGACAGAAGGGTGTACTTGACTAAATGCCCCTTCTGGTTCCAAAGAGATGATCAGAAGCATTGTATTATTGTTAAACATACCCCTTTTTATTCAGCTAATGTTTTGTCTGCAGTGTGTACAGTTCATATGACCTTCCGTCAGAGTAATTGTTCAATGTACTTGGTTGGCTTTGTCATTCCATAGGGTTAAGTTATATGAGAATTATTATAACAAGTTTGAAATCCCCAAACATGCTCACCATGCATAGATCAACCTTGCATCAATGCTGGTATTTGAATGATTTTAATTTAAAGTAAAGGCTTCTAGTCACTAGTAATTATTGTCAGTGATGTCTACGGTAGTGGTAATAGTGCTTGTCCTAAAGATGTGCTTGACCATATATGATACTTGTGGGCAAGTATTTATGGAGCGCTCTGTTCTAGATTTGATGGTTATATCGTGGTTTTGAAAACCACTCATTCGTCTGCACGCACGCTTGTGTATAGAGTCTATTGGGTAGGGAAAAGGAGACTAATGTGCTTCTGTACAGATTGAATGGTGGTTTCCTACATCAGGATAATGCCAATTTGATGCCCTTAAGTTTTCTTTCAGCATTTTTTGGCTTTCATTTGAGTATTAATTCCAGACATGTTCTTTTTTATGTATGAGGTAATAGAACAAATTTTTTTAATGAACAAATATGAATTTGCTTTTATGGTTCTACCAGAGGACTTGTTGAATTGGTGTGTACAGTAGAAGATCTGATAATATATTTTTGACATAAATCTGTATTCTAGACTTGATAAGTTTAGGCTACTGATTGATCTAATAGGTTTCAAAACATCGACATAGATAGATATATTCTGAAAATATCATAATATCTACATGTAATATTACACTTTCCTGGAAATCAATTTGAAAGACTATTGGGACTTTCTTCTAAAAGACATCTTGAAATTGTATTTGATGTTTTTTAATGGTATGACTAATGTCTAAAATTTATGTAACAGAGGAGAGGAAAGATTATAAAGCACTTTTAAAGAATGTATTTATACTACATTTAATTTTTGTACTGGTAGGTTGGTTTGACAATCAAAATGCTCGGTAGTTTGAGTAAACTTGGATGTGAAAATGAGATTAATGTACAAATGCATGCAGAGAATGTCATGATGGAAAAGGATTAAAATATTTGTATAGTAAGACTGATGAAAGAAAAAGTTATGTAGAATAGAAAAGTTGATCATTTGCATGGCAGAAGATGATACAAGTCTAAACAAACATTTGTTGTTCATATTTTCCACTGTTCATCTCTAAAGGGAGAGAGATTTGAAAATGATATCGGTCTATGGGATATTATTTTTGTAGCTCTGCTGTTGTAGGCTGGTGATGTTATGTATTTGTAAAGTAAAATTGTAAAAACTTTAAATGAACATAAAAAATAAAGATGAATATGCTAATTAATGCTAAACATACTTGTGACATGACTTCTGTTTGGTTCTTTTTAGTGAGTGCGAATTCGGTACGATATGCTTGCTACCTATGGAGGAACAAAAGTTTGTGTGTGCTTGTCAAGACAGGCTACGTCTGTGAGTACTTTTAAGATGGTGTGGTGACTTTCCAGAAGGGGAAAAAAATCATATCACCCGCAAATTTTCCTTATTAAATAGAGTTAATGCCCTCTCTGCAGATGGGCCGTAATAGATCCTCAGTCATTCATTTCACTTTCATGTGAGGCACATACCTTAAACATCATTGAATTGAAACAGATTGAAAGACCCAAAACAAATCATATTCTCGTTATTCAAACAGAGCACTATCCAGTGTATAAAGCCACGCTGTAATCAATTTTGAATGCGAGAATAGGATTATTTTCTCAGGCAGTAGCCTTTAAGAATTTACCATGTGCGAACTGCAAACACTTCAGTACACCCTGATAACTATTCAAATCTAATAAAAGTAAATTTTGTGTTTTTGCAGTCAAGGTAAACTGACAACTTAATAACCCTATATATGAGATTTAACTATATTTTACTTTGAGTATATCTAAACTATTTGTTTTTGTAAACAACCCTCTTTTCTTCACAAGATATTTCCTCATTTTCCATCTTTGAACAATGAAATGGAACCTTGTACCCAAGAACAAATTATAAGAAATTCATAACAAGGTGATTTTGCTGGTCCCACTTATTTAAATTTGGTTGTTTTTCTTCTTCTTTAGCCCTGATTACGGTGAACAGGGTTTCTTTCAATAGAGCAAGGTAATTTCCTTGGTACTAAGGAATTTGTTAATGATGTCCCACTGTATTGGAAACACATTCTTAAATAAGCCCTTCCGCAAATTAATCATATTTATGCATCATTAGTCACGAGGAGGGATATTTGTGTGGAGAAAAAAAATCAGAGTTGCCACTTTGCATTCTATATCTCAAAAATTAAAAGAAATTTTTCTTTCATTTTCCTCCCCCCCCCCCCCCTCTTTTACCTTTCTCTCAATCCCATCCACCTCTCTACCTCCCCTCTCCCTCTCTTTAAGTCAATCTGCTGATAGTGTACACTTTCCATTCAATACATTGCCCAACGATATTATGTATTGCAGAAACACACTTTCACAGAACAGCATCAAACCACACAATCTCTCTCTTAAGGCGTTACCATTAAATCTGTAAAAGTTATTGCACAACATCACCTAATCTAAAGTACATTTTATTACTTGGCATGTATCCATGGCTTCTGAAAACTTGAACTACCAGTACATTTTTCAAATAATTTATTTTCATTGTCAGTTACTCTGAAATATACTTATAAATTTATCTATTTTTACATGATAAGTCATAAGGCTCACTCTATGAAAAATTGAAAATGTAGTCCAAAGAAGGAGATACATCTGCTTTACATATTAAACTCAAGGATTTATTAATATGTAGTGGAGTATCTGATTAATATTGGAAATGCAGTATACTATAGTTTGTGTTATTTCACTGATACAATAGACAATGGTCCAAGTTTCCCTCATCAAACATGATTCTTCCGTCTGCTACTTCAGGCCACCTTTGCTTCAGAACCTTGCAAAGTACCAGAGGAGAATCTTTATATAACATTAGACAATTTGATACATTGTCACAGCCTAATATTATGCTTTGATGGTTGGTTTTACTTGATTGCTATTAAAGAAAGTATGTGCATGATTGTAAGAAAGCAACCCGGACCAAACAGCTACAAGTCCCCTCAGAGGGTACTTAATAATGAGGATTAATGCCTTGCCAAAGGGCACTAGCGCATCGACTCGGTTCCGAACCCTGGACCTCCTCAGTACGAGACCACTGCTTGATGCTTTTGTTGCTTAACTCGGAAGCATCTTCCCAAATTTGACACGCTTTGGGTTTTTGCTGCTTTCTGTTGTCGCACAATATTCAAAATAAATTTCCATGCATCACCAATGAAAGGGAAATCAACTGTAATACAATCAGACACAATAAAACAATGGTATTGTCCTTGTATATTACTCAAATAAATGTTTTCTTTATTGTCGGTTATCTTAATCATATACATTTGTTCCTTTTTTACATAATGATATAGTTGGCTCACTCAATCAAACATTTTCTGATGGTTCCTTCTGATGAACATTCTGCATGATTATGTTACATGAGAAACCAAATGACTTTATTAGATGACACTGTATCTCATTACAAACAGAGTCATTTTTATTACATGTTATTTCTTTGATAGCTTAAATGATATTTCAATTATTTGTACCTTTTACAAATTCCTGAATATCATTCATTGACACAGTTGCAAGTATTCCAAATATTTTGGAAGACAACAATGGAGGATTAACATTAATGAATTAAAAATCAAATCAATTAAATGTTTCACCAAGCTTCCTGATTGTAAAATGAGATTATCTTTCCCCAAGACACAATAAAATTGTTGTTACCACAATCACAGTGTATGGATCTCAGTGTATGGATCACAGCAAAAAATTCTTAGAGATTGTTCAATAAAAGAAGGGTCTTCCAAATATATTGTTCTTACCACAAATCAACAATTTGCAGTACAGCACATGTAACTGAATTATGCTGATTTTTGAAGGATTGAAAAGCAAGGTACCTATCTATACCTACCACCGAGTATATGATCAAAATTCTATTTGATGGATAGGAGTAAAGATGATAAATCATAATTTCAGCACTCTGAAACAATATACAAATCTAACGTATACCCTGTACCAACATAAGAAGTCAATATGATATCTTTTTTTTGAGGGATAATAATACTACATCTCCAGGGGGGGGGGGGGGGTACTCAGATTTGGTTGGGACGGGGGGTGTGCCGCTGAAGCTTCAAAATCCCAACCCATTTTTAAGGGTAATTTTGGGGGATTTTTCTCCAAGTAAAGCTCATTTTTCACAATTTTCGAAAAAGCGGACCCATGCTTAGGGACATTTTAAAAAAAAATAGAACCCATATTTAGGGATTTTTTATGAAAAAGTGACTCATTAGAGAGGCAAACTCCCGTATGTCTCAATATGTGAGGGGAAATATCTAAAAACAAAACAAAAAATTGTTTATGCGAACATCAGTTTTCAATAAAAGTCATGCCAACTGTTACACACAATATATAGGATGCAAATAAATTTTTCAACACAAATAAATTTTGCAACACAAATAAGATGACCAAGAGCTGATGTTCACCCCTACAGGATGATGAAATCTAAATTTCATTTCCCATACAGGAACAAATAAATTGAACATGCTATTTCAACAATTTCACTCGGAAAGAAAACTCACACATAATTCGTAATATTTGCAGCATTTCTTTGAAATATACAACAATGTTCATGCATATTCACTAGCAGTACACTATCCAGTGAATGAATTTGTACACCTAATGCAGACCTCCAGATAAAAGAGAAGCCCACGGATTGGTGGGGGAGTCATCTTTGGCAGAAATGGGAATAAATGAAATATGGGACTCAAGTCTAAAGATTTTTCTACAAAAATTCATGTACACAAATGGCAAAGTATCCATATACCTCATTCATGTGACAGTGAGTGCCCCCTTCCATCTCCTCCCCCCCCCCCCCCAAAAAAAAAAAAAAAAATCTGTAACAATTCACCCTCATTAGATAGTGATCCTACACTGAATTGGACCATATTTTCAAGACACTTTCTTTGGTATCAGATCTCCGTTTGCTATTTTATTTTAATTGACGTTAAAGAGAAACGGACAATATACAAAATGAATACCAAATACATGACTCAATACTTCATTTATGAGACAAAGTCTGGGCAATTAAAAATGTAATTTATTGACAATCTATCTAAACTGAACTAATTTATCTACTTAATAATGTTTAATACATTTTATTGCATTGTTTTCTTCATTGAAAATTATTCACATAATACTTTATATTTCAGAATCAAGGGCATAATTTTTTTCTTCTTTTATCTCATAATTCTTACACCATTCACATCAGCTTAGATGAGAGACTGTGGCCAAGAGACCTGAATACACGAGAGACTATACATTTCGTATGTACAATTGTCAACTTCTTGGTTACAGAATCATAAAATATAGCTTTCAAACCATGACATCTCAACACTTTTTGTTCATGAATAGCCTTTGATGCTAAAAATTACAGGAAGAACACAATTACAGATTATACATGCTGTATTCATGCTTTGTAGTGTGTATTATATAGTTCCTACATGTACCATTGTCTCAAGTGATTTTGTTTGTAAAGATAGGGGATAATCATTTTCAAAAATTCATTTCAGATTAATGGGAAATCATGATTTTTTTTCACATCAATTTGGCTAAGTTACAGATGAATCCAAGGTAGTCTCAAATTCTGGGAATGATAAAATACAGAATTTTGTGGGAACACTCAAAGCTTCAAAGTTAGGGCAGATCATACTAATCAATGGTACACATACAATGAAAGGGCTGATCCAGGATTGTCAAAAGTGGGGGTGGGGCAAAATTTGATTCCAAGAAAATCCCAGTGGCTTTGCTACGGATCCAAAAGGGGGAGACATCATTTTGTACCCATACAAGAAGCTTGTTTTACACATTTCATATTCTTAATAAGAGGTGAGGGGAAGTCTGTTTTATAAAATTGTTTATGTTTTGCCAGTCTTAACAAATAATCTTCATTATGAGAACCATTCACAATCCAGAATGACCATTGGAAAGTTTCTCTCAAACTTCAATTGCTTCGACACCAGAATTCAAAATTACCTCAAATTAATCTAGAAGACATACCAGAGCAGCACACAGGTACAAAAGAAGTCTGGGGTATTAAAATAGAAGTTCTTGTTTGCCAAGCGGTCTAAAATGACTTGTGACGATGGTCTCATCGACTTCTTCTAGCGTTGCTGGCGACCATTTAGGGGTGTGGTCCTTTTCAATCAGAACAGCTCGCACTCCCTCGTAGAAATCATGCCCTCTCTGTTTAAAGATGGAAAGGAAATCGATCAAAAATCCTCATAATTTATCATAAAGAGTAATGTTTACATTGGAATGATTATCTATGCAGGGCAAGAAGATTTAAACTTGCTAATCTCTTCTAAAAAGACAAAACTAGTGGAAAAATGTCACAAAATACATGTCTTCCCAAAAGAGAATTATACACAACTACATGTAAATCTACTCAATAACACTTTAGAATAGTTTTTTTTCTATTCTTCTTTGTTTCTTTTTCCGCACAAATTTTGTTTTCATACTTACAATGCATCCCTCTGCAATCCTATACTCCATTGAGAGGCAGTTTCCTAGTGTCAGTTTGGCGCCCTCTATCAGCTGTCGCAAGGTGATTTTCATTGAGGTGGGTGACATCTTTTTAAGTGTCTGCAAAAAGAATGAAGAAAATTCAATTTAACAGGCTTCAGAAGGATGTCCAACACATGACATTAACATGTGTATAGTGTATGAGATGTGGAGATGATTTCATAAAGATATACTTAAACGAAATTCATAACATAATCAGATATACCTGCTCTTTGGGATATTCCAAGCTTTCTAGACTGATTTACAGATCATCTGTTGAGAGTCAGAAGGGCATTGACTACTATGTAAAAGTTAATGAGCTAAAGCTTACTGGCTCACAGCAGGCCTAGCAAGGTTTCATTCTTCCAGAGCAAAATTATGAAATGTATGATAGGATAAGAAGATTTCACATCACAACAAATGATTTCATTAAGAGAAAATGTCTTTGAAGCACGATCCTGGCTTGGAAGTAACACTTATCTCTTTAAAGGAGGTTAAAGCCCCTATCAGGGATTTGACCACCCTGCTTGAAAGTCCATGGCAGCAAGCTCAACAGGGTAATGTCATACTCTGGATTACATTGGACTACAGTGTATGTTAAAGGGAATGTATCATGGCAAATACTGATGAATGCTATCTACGTCTTCTTTTGGACAACTGCACGTAAACGAATGGACTTGATTAACTGGGTCAGCGCGCGCTAGCGTTCGCGATACAGACCAAAGTTCTCCTCACGCTTCGGCTTCTGTGGGCAAAAATATCAAATAGCTGAGCACTGAGCGAAGAAATATCTGTAAGGAAATTGAGCTAATGACCCCAACTCAAAACTCATTTGCATTATCACCCAGCTTTGTACAAGTTGTGCTCATTAGTGAGTCTGATTTCCTGTAATTAAAGTTTTGGCAAGTTTTATTCTATTTCCTGTAAGTTTTTGCAAGTTCGTTTCTATTTACTGTAAGTTTTTGCTAGTTTGTTTCTATTAAATGGTAAAATTGATGCATGATAATCAAGTCATAATCATGGTGTCTCTTATAAGAACATTTCATTACCGGGACTCAATAGAGGGAAACCAGTGGATAAAACCCATTTATATGTAGCCTGAAAATCCACCCAGAAATATTCATGGCCATTTAACCTGTGTACCATATGTAGCCTGAGAAATTTGAAACAGAGCAGTGACAGGGCCTGAAATCAGGGATAAGCCTAAAAACTGTCTCTGTAAAGCCTAGCTTTAACAAGATGACATACCTCAAGTTGTTTAGTAGCCCATTCTGATCCATCTTGCTCAAGGTTCTGGAATATGGCTTCTACAGTGTCTGCTTCAAACAGCCTGTCTATACTGGATTTATGAGGAGCCAATGAGAAGGGTTTGTCTGCATCTATGGAACACTGAAGTTGCATGGAAAGGAAGTACAAATTCATTAGATACACATACAATAAAGAGAATAATACCAGATGAATACAACTGCCTTTCAAGTATATGGGTCAAGCTAAACTCATTTAATCTTCTTTTCCACTACACATACATTAATTTCACTACTCTACATAACATTAATACATTCAATCAAGTTATACGATGTAGTCAAGATTAGGATGAAAACTAATCAAATCAACCTTTGACCTAATTGTCTAATAGTGCTGTTTGGTAAAAAAAAAATCTTTTATTTTGGTACATATACATGATTTCTCTCAAATTTTCTGCCATGTTCTCATATGGTATTGTAATAAGGAATGTATCTTATATCTACATACTTTTTACATCTACACATATTTTTCATATTTGCATCATTCTTTTATAATCAACATATTTTAAAAAACAATTATCAAAGTACTTAATAACACTTTAGAGTGTAAAAGTGTATTACCTGTTGATGGAATTTTTGTAGCACTTGTTGAACTTGAGCATGTTGAGGTGATTGTAAACTACACAGTTCTTGCTCCAATTCTGGTAACTAAATAAAGAAATCAAAGAAAACAAAGAAAATATCATGTTGATTTAATTTCACAGCATAATTCGAAAAAAAATTTGACTTGTCTATTTGATCTATTTGTGCCTATAATCAGTACCAGAAATGGGATTATTTTCAGCCATCTTTAGAATCAGATATGAGAAGGACGATTCCATGTAGTGTGTCTGGTATGAAATATTTATTTTATCCATTCATGTCATATAAAAAAAGCTTTGTGTAAACACCGACTCTTGGTAGGGATAATGGAAAGAACGATGAGTCGGTGGTCATGTTGAGAAATTGTCATCACTGGATGAAATAAATGGATAAAAGACATTTAAGGAATCACCCAGGATGACATTATCAAAAATAAATTTAAACTGTTTCAAATGATGCAATAATATGCTTAAAGGGATCCGGTAACTTTGTCTCAGATCCTTATAACAAAATCCTTGATTTAGCTCATGCAGCAATCATAATTATAAACCTTTACAGGCATCTCATTACTTTTACAAGCCGATCGCCTATCTGATTATCAAGATATCTATGATTGGAATTAGAAATTTCAGAATTCGTTTTTCTAACAGTTTTTATAACACTACAGTCTATTGGGGGAAAATGAGTATGGTAAAACCGGCCACTCAAAGATTTTTACTTTTATGAGGCACTTGATGATCATTTTGAACCACGTTTTTTTAAAGCTTCAATATTACACTATATCACAGACACTGATAACACGTAGGGCCATGCATCTCAGATTTAACATTGTTAAACGATGCCCTTAAATACTATGGTATGCTTGAGAAACCCAGGGCTCCTATGGAAAATGGGTGTTAACGAAAGTTACTACAAATTCAAAAATTCTTACTTTTTGAGCTTCTACAAAGTGTGTAGCTACTCCAGCATGCAGGACATCACGACCTTTCAACCTGTAGCCAGTTAGAGCCAAGTAGATGCCAAGTTTACCATCGAGCCTGGGTAAGAAGTAACCCCCTCCTACATCAGGGAAGAGTCCTATGGCAGTCTCAGGCATAGCAAAGAGTGTCTTCTCGGTTGCTACTCGGTATCGCCCATGGACAGAGAGACCTACACCCTGTGGAAGGGATTACAAATAATTACTTTAGGATAATTAAAAGACTTAACATGTGAGTTTATTACGTTAATTGATAATATATTATAGGTACATCAAAGCCCCATTGTACTACTTTTAATTCAGGGAATGATTATCTGATCTATCATTAAACAAGTTTGGAGTTTAAATCTCCAGTGGTTCTTGAGATATCATGATAACAATCTCAATGTATGGAATTTCATAAGTTGACCTCTGTGACCCTTGACCTTTGACCTACGTGCTCCAAAATCTAATCAGATTGTCTTCCTATGGTGATACACACTATCATTAAGTTTGAAGTTTAAATCTCCAGTGGTTCTTGAGATATTATGATATGGTGATACATACTATCATTAAGTTTGAAGTGAAAATTCTCCAGTGGTTCTTGAGATATCGCGATAACAATCTCAATGTATGGAATTTCATAAGTTGACCTCTGTGACCCTTGACCTACGTGCTCCAAAATCTAATCAGATTGTCTTCCTATGGTGATACACACTATCATTAAGTTTGAAGTTTAAATCTCCAGTGGTTCTTGAGATATTATGATAACAATCTCAATGTATGGAATTTCATAAGTTGACCTCTGTGACCCTTGACCTTTGACATACGTGCTCCAAAATCTAATCAGATCGTCTTCCTATGGTGATACATACTATCCTTAAGTTTGAAGTTTAAATCTCAAATGGTTCTTGAGATATCGCGCTAATAAAATCAATACAAGGAATTTCATAAGTTGACCTCTGTGACCTGTGACCTTTGACCTACGTACTCCAAAATCTAATCAGATCGTCTTCCTATGGTGATAAATACTATTCCCGAGTCTTAAGTTTAAATCTTAAATGGTTCTTGAGATATTGTGATAACGGTCAAACGGGACGGACGTACGGACGGACGTACGGACGGACAACCCGAAAACATGATGCCTCCGGCACCACCTTCGGTGGCGGAGGCATAAAAATGGAGATACACATGTACATATCTTTAACCGTGTAACTAACAACAAGCAGAGTCCAACCTACCCCTCCCATCGTAATGCCATGGATGAATGCTATGTATGGTTTCTTCATTGTGCCAATGGTGTGGTTCAAGATGTACTCATTCTTGAAGAATTCACCAGCCAGAGGATCACCAGCTTTGCCTGCTTCTGTTACAGCTGCACAAGAGGAAGAAAAACGATTGTAAAACAGGGTGGTTCCCAAACAAAAATGCAAACACCTAAATGGGAGGAATGTGAACTTATGGGGAGGGCGAACAGGGGTAGTACCTGTATTTCTCAGGGAGAAAATGCAAATAGACAAGGACATTGAGCATGCTGTTTTTGTGGAATGGTGAGCTAGACTACAATATACCGTACATGAATTAAAATCAAAATACCCTAATATCAACAGTGATATGGCACAACATTAATGTATTTTAGCCATACAAGATGGCAGTCAACATTTTGCCCCTTGTCGTCTTGTGAGAATTATCTGACACCCTTGATATTGACGATAATTCTGGTTCTTTTGTTGAGTCTTATAGCTAATTCAATGATTTGCACCTTCTACATTTCTAAATGGAACTAAAATAAGCACAACTTTAGGAGGAGAAAGTAATGTAAATGGCCTGAAATTGATAAGAAATGTAATTTAAATTACCTTTGATATCACCTCCTGCACAGAAAGCTTTGTCTCCAGAGCCTTTTATGATAACAACCGAGGTAGAGGGATCCTCACACCATTCCTGAAGTATAAAATGACATGAAGCAATGTTAAACATTAATGCATGAGGTTGTTATTAGAAGTTATTAGAAGGATTCTGTTGTTTTTATCTATATTCAGAACACCTCTAGAACCCCCCCCCCCCAATGGTATATAAGTTATTATGTTGTCTAAATGTTGATAGTTTGATACACTGAATGTTGAAAAATGATAGAAGTTTCACTGTTGTGAAACAGGTATTGCAATCAGAGAAGTATACAAACTTCATCAAATAATCCATGATATGCACATATGTCACTGTGGCACTACAGGTGACCAAATGCCTACAACAGTCTTACCATTTGTTCTGTAATATGGAAATCATGCCCTCGTGGACCCCTCTTTTTCACCCTAAAAAATATTAATAATTTTTTTTTTTTTTAAATTCGCCTGCAGGAAAAATAAAATCTGTTAAAATTGTTGATGTTACCGGTTTTTATGACAAAAAGTAATCCGACTGAACGAAAGAAATGAATGAAGAAAATGATTGCCGATACCACCATGGCAGCATTTGAGGGAAAAATGAGACAAAGATCGAGGGAGAGAGAGGTGACAAAAGGCATACCGACAGAAAGCAAAAAATGAATGAAGAAAATAATTGCTGATACCACCAGCATTTGAGGAAAAAAAAAGAGAAATCGTGGAGAGAGAGAGAAGCGAAAACAATCACTGATATTTAATAAGGCTTTTATTACAAAAGGTAAGCCGACTGAAAGAAAATAATGGATGCCAGAGTAAAAGAGAGAGAGAACAGTGAGAATGCGAAAACAATAAAATAAAAAGGCTTTTATAACAAAAAATAAGCCGACGGAAAGAAAAAAATGACAAAAGCGAAAACAAAAAAAAATAAAAATGAAAGGACAATAAACAAAAATGTTTATTTTGGTATCTTTCTTGATCATTTGTGCCCCTGAAAAGGGCCATTTGGGTTTATACAGATATTTAAGCTCTCCGTAGCTCTCCATCCGACGATACCTCGCCGACGTCATCTTTGCAATCGTGGCTGTCTTCCCAGATGAGGTCTTCCTCAGTCCCGTCGAGGTTGTTGGAGATACTTGGCTTGAAAAAGGAGAGCTTTACCATTTAGGTTGGGATCAAGTTTCACACATCGCCGATCCATCTGCAGATGGTCGGCAGATCTACCTTGCGTCTACCTGGTATTCGTTTTCTTGTTGATGGAGACATCAAGGGGCTGCAGCAACAATGTCATCCCCCCAGGGATGATGGCGATGTCGGTGTTGTGGTGCCGCAGGATGATCTTCGTCGGCTCCGACTTGTGGCACCAAAAGGCATCCAAAACCAGAAGACTTCGCTTTCTTGAAGTGCCGCCATCTCGTCGAGCCCAGACTGCCTTTACCCAGTCCTTGGTGATGTCCTCGTCAAACCAGCCCTTTGCCTGCACCCTGACAATGACACCTATCGAGAAGGTCACCTTCGGCATTGTCTTCCGCTTGAGGAGGGAGCTTTCCGCCATCGGCCGTGCAGCACAGCATTACCGTGAAACAATCTTTCTTATGGCCTGTCATCATCACCGTAACTGTTGTTTCTCCCTTGAATTTACTGCATAGCGAATAAACACTTAACTTTTGTCTTTACCGGTAATCTCTTTTTAAAGGATTTAGTCTACATTTGCAAAGATCATATACAAATGACTTTTACATGATAGTCTAGGGGGGGGGGGGTAACAAATAGTGGTCTTCATGAAACTTGATGTGACTTACTTTTAGCTTTGGTGTTATTTTCTTGACCATAGAAAAGTCCAGAGCATTGAGGGCCTTTGGTCTGTTCAGTGTGATGATGCCGGTTGAATTGATCTTCTCAAAGAGGGCATCTTCCTCTGTACCTGCAGTCGACGACATCCTCATTTGTCCAAGGATGACTGATACACGCTGCAGTGATATTCTGTGCAAACAAATGAAAGGGTAAGAAGAGTTACTCTTAAACTGAAGGGAACCAATCAACACCAGAAAAAGAGCATTTGCATATTGTGAAAAGACAAAAATCTCTCATATTCCCCATCCTATAAAGATTAAATCAGGGGTTAGTGAGGACTTTTTTTTTCTTTTTCTCAACCATACACAAACACAAATGGCATCTAACATTCCCCTTTTTTGATTAAGTAAATTGGGAAAAATTGGGGGAAAAAAGGGGTAAAATCATGAAGAAAAAAAAAAATTAGGAAAAAATCAGGAAACCGATATAAATTGGATAATTATCAGGCCTGATAAATGAATACATTTTGAAATATTTATATGTACGGTTACGGATTAAGGAGCACAGGGGTGAAAGTTACTTTACATTGAAGCCCACATGGAAATTTCATTCATAGACGAGATTTGAGTTTATGCACTTGCATAAATGTATTTTAACTGCAAAGTCTCTTATTCTCTTTTATACAAAAATATACTGTAGTTTTTACGTCTAATGAAAATAGTAGGCCTTCAATTTTAAACACAGCACAATATTCTTTGGTAATTTGTCCCCTGTATAAAGGAAGAACTGCCATTGTACTTTTTCATATTTTGTAATTGTGTACATGACTTAGGGCTGTGCTCACGTTCTGCAGAATACTTCCATGAACCCAGTAATGATGACAGACTGAATAAGTTGGGCTAGGACACATAAACCACTCTAGATGACCTTTTACCTTTCATAACAAGAGATCCACTATCACAGCCTACATGTATGCTAATCAGCATCTAACGTGTACACAACAAACATAATACTAGTTACCGGTACTTAAAATAGAAATGTATATAGTTACACAAGCTAAGCACATGTAAAACTCAATACATACCAAGGGCAAATTTCAGTAAGGGATTTATGAATTTGCAATGTATACCTTATAATGAATGTAAATTTTGTGTATCTTAAATTAACCTGTTGAATAAAATATAATTTGTGTACAACACGTACACTATATGATCATCTCAAGCCTAGCATTCAACTATTTTCAACAGGATACATTTAAATGGAACAATGAAATCAGTCATATGACAAAGAAACACTGTCCTTTTAGTTTTTTAACTGTTCCACTATTAGGCTTCCCCTGACATTAGATGGGTATAAAATTATTAGTATGCATACCGTCTAGGCTAAAAAAAAAAAGCTGACATAAATGTTATTAGATTTCTCACCTCTTCTTAAAATCCATATTTGATTCATGCAGACGTTTACTTTTTATCTTTTCTCCCCACACAAATTGAAACCATACAGTCTAGACTGGTATCAGATGGCATGTTGCTCGTACATTATGACAAATGGTATTATATCACTACATGCAAACATCAGACAGTTCACAATTACACAATTATGCAGGTACACATGGACAATATGCAGTTATGCACAAACAAATGTCCAAACGTTGGCAAATTTATTGGAGCAAGCAGTATACTTAATTTTATCTTGAGGTATAGGACTTACTGTACACCCCTGTTAGCTCAAAGGTTATAAAACTTAAATGCAAACAGATCTTTGATTTAATCAGATACTCATGAATAGGAGTCTTCTTGAACAGACACAGTCAATGGAAGGTGCTCGTGCGATGAGGCGATTGATTCAGCAATTTCTTTTTCTGTATGTTTATTCAATTCTCAAACTCAGAATGTTAACCCCTAGAACAGAAGTTTGATAGGCTCGTGCACCACTGATTATTGATTTTCTTGCGTAAATGTCCTCTAATCCAGGATGTTTTACCTTGAAACACATGAATGATAATTTTTGTGCAGAACGCAAGCTATTTCTGTTGCAGTATATTTTTGTGATGACCATGAATGAAAAATGCTTTTAAATACATCTAAGTTGGTACACGTAATACAGAGGACTATAAACACTATTGTCCTGTAAAAATTGGCAATTTTCATAAAATATTGATTTCTGAGATTTTAATTTTAATTTTTCTCACAACATGTACCTCTGGTCCATTATGAATATGATTTATCGATAATAATATGTGTGCCATCCACACCAAGAGGGTTACCATCATGCCCGTCGAATTCAGCTTGTCCGTCGAGTCTACCTTGATTTGTTGTAAACTTTGGAAATGTGAGGAATAAGCCAGTTCACGGTTGCAGTCTGAGCATGAGCAGATAAAGGTCATTGCAGAACAAATTGTGAAATACATGGAGACGAAATACTGGAAACGTGCTCAAGAAAGTTATGTAATCATTATTCATTTATGCACTCCATGATACACAGGTGGAAGTATTCTTTGAAAAGGGGAAACAAAGGCTATTATGTAGCACCTCCATCGCTGTTGGAGTGATTATTTCAAAATGTACAAAGTGGGACCTCTTCATGTTTTGAAGATTTGGGGTCATTGCAGTAATGTGCTAACCGTGAACTGGTCTATTCTAATAAATAGTGCCACTTTGAGGAAGCAAATTGACAGAAATAACAGATCTAGGCCTACAATCATATTAATAAGCCGAGTGACGAGGGGTACTCACATACTAGGACATACAGGGTGTGACGCTTTAACAGGTCATTTTTTTAAAAAAAGGTCCCACTTAAAAAAAAAGGACCATTAAAAATTGGTCTGTTTTTTCAAAATTTCCAAAAATTTTCTGGTGTTTGCCTTAAGTTTGTTAGCCTCTGATTTGGGTAAGGAGCCGACCTTTCCTAAATCAGAGGCTAACGAACGAAAGAGACAGAAAAATTGTGAAAAATGGGTCTTTTTTCCAAGAAAAATGCCCCTATATGACGCCTAATGATGGATAAGGGTTTTGAGGCTTGAGCAGCACACGCCTGTCCAAACCAAATCTGATTAGCTACCCCCCTACCCCAGAGCTACCAAGTATCACGCATTAGGCGTGACATCACGCATTTCGAGGGTCTGAAAATGCTCTTACGCACGACGCGCGCGCTAGATTTTGAAAAAACGGTATACCTTATAGTTATACCCTCGCACGCGGGCTCGAGCACCGAATCTTGAAAATGTCACGCATTGCCGATCTTTGAACTTGGCGTCTCTGCAACCCCCCCCCCCCCCCCCCCCCCCCCCCCCCCGGGTAAAAATCTATTGTTTAATCATAATTAAAGTCACACTCACAGTCACACAAGTCACAATTTCACCCAAACAAAACTCAAAAGGTCAAGGAAACATGTTATTTTAACTGTCAGTCAGTTTCACCTTAATTGGGCTTAAATTAATGTCCTTTATTTTTAATCATAATGAAATAATAGGCCCCATCGCTATCTACTTTTTGATATTGCACCATTGACCAATAAAAATAATGCTCACAACACACAAAATTGACAATAAATACCTTCTCAGACTTCTTGATACCAACATTTTCCCTGAACTTCAATGAATTGACGTCTGTTCAGCCGATTCAATTAAGTCTTTGCAAGCCCAACCTTGCCTTTGGTTGCAGAAGCCAGAACAGCTCAGTCGCTATCTGGTGAAGATCACACACACGTCACGGGCCTCTGAAATGAATCTGGCCGTCCCCAGCCCAGGTCAATCAAGATCACACGAGAGGTGTTTTTTGTAATGTTTATCGTCAAAATATGATTTCGGCCAGCAGAATGTATTGCTCTGTTTGTCTGCATGTGCTCAGATCATGCACTTACGCATCGATTGCAGAAGAAATGTTACTGCCGAACAAAATGTTTTTAGAAACAAATCGAGTTTCGGCCAGCAGAATGTATTGCTCTGTTTGTCTGCATGTGCTCAGATCATGCACTTACGCATCGATTGCAGAAGAAATGTTACTGCCGAACAAAATGTTTTTAGAAACAAATCGAGTTTCACGAACTGGACGCGTGTATGTAGTTAGTCTTGATTCATGCTAAAGATTTTAGATAATATAATGTCATTTTTATTAAAATAGACTCTAAATGTATCCTTGTTGATCGGTAACCCATTTATCAGTATGATAAAAGTAACTTGTATATTTTATACTTCTTATTTTGTACAAATATCATCTAATGATGTAAGATAATTGATATAGACTCTAGATCTAGTCCATAACTTGTTTATCATCAGTGAATACAACCGTTAAGCCCAACTTGGGTCTTTTTTTTACTTCCTATGAGACCGGTAATATGTAAATATTCAAAGTTTTAGTAGACTGCACCCTGTAAATGATGACGAATCACACGTAAGATCTTCGATTCAATCTGTTATTAACGGGTCAAAATGAATGATTTTGTAAATATACATTTTTAAATATACAAGAGCCTTAATTTATACTACGCATCACATCTCATCGAGCTGAGCTGCAGCTGGGGAGCTGAGAGTGAGATGATGTCGCAAACATCGAGGCATTTCTTTGAGGATTTCCCACCTCCCAACAATTTTGAACATACCACCAGTAAAGTTGAAAGTTTTGTAAAGCAACATCAAACTGGCTGCAAAAATGTGGTCCTCATTACGGTAAGAGCTCGGCGACAGTAATCATTTACAATGTCCTGATTTTGCTGTTTGTCCGTAATCCATCGGATACTCGCGATCATTATGAGCCGAAACTCCTGGGCACTTGACTTTGAAGGTTCCGCTAGTTCCTGCTAGATGTATTCTTATGCAAATAAAGTCCATAGAAAATGAGATGAGAAGGCTCTGGCCCTGCTGACCTTGTCAAAACTTGCTTTGGCCATTGTTCCAATATTGAATTAATTTTCCATATCACCTGTCAGTTGATTACCATATAATTGTTGTATCATTATTTAAGAATGAATTATAATGTTTATCTATCTTTCTAGACTCTAGTAGTTGTACTATTTTAGATAAGATCTTGTCAGAATTTTTGTTTGAGGATAGTTCAATAGTAGATGCATGTAATTAATTAAGCTTGTAATACAATGTAAAGCGCATAGAGACATACCTTGTATAATGCGGTATAGAAATATAATTTATTATTATTATATTATTATGAACCATTGTGTTAATTGAGAGAGAGAGAGATCGAGGGAGATTAGAGATTCAGAAAGAATGATTGAATGAGATAGATGGGGGAGAGAGAGAAGAGACTTAGAGTCAGATTGATGTCGGGATGTTGGAGATAAAGAAGAATTTGTTTTTTTCATGACCATGCTAAACAGGGCACAGTGTCAGCATCACTCTTGTGATTATACCGTGTGAGAGGAATGTATCTGGTCCATTGCAGCTAATTTGTTTTTAACCATCTTTCTTTCAATATATCATCAAATAGTCTGGAGGGACCGCTGTACCAATGGAAAGCAGAACCGTGAGATTCATTGATAACTTCAGCACTGGTACCAGAGGTGCTGCATCCACAGAGTATGGTAACAAATTAATATATCACATCAACTATTGTGTCGCGGCTAGCAGAAGAACATACGCTTTGCATGATTTGGTCAAACAAATTGATTGAACTTGGAGAAAGTTGGACTTTGAGTTATGCAGAGTTAACTGTATTTGATACAAAAATACCCAAATTATGTAGCTACCATCCATATTCACTTCTTGATTTTTTTATTCAGAAGAGAAATCCCTGCCATGTTTTTAAAAAAGGGATTAAAAGGAAGTGACCAGAAATTTGCTTTATGGCATGCACATATGCTAATGCCTTTCTGCCGGCCACACAACCATATAATTATACAGGGGCTGATAGGAGTAAGAATAAATTACTGATGCTCTAATGTTCTAATGTATATAATATCAATTAATTTTTAAAGGGAAAGTCCACCTTGATATTAAGTTGGTTTTAATAGAAGCAGAAAAAAAGAGAAACAGGTCAGTGAGAGTATGAGCAAAAACCATTTAAAAATAAGAAATTTATGAATATTTGAAGTTGCGATCAATCAAACACAAATTGGCAACTCTGTGACGTATCCTGCAAGGTCCCCTCCCATTTGGCCTGTAATGAAAAATTTCAATGAAAAAACTTTCCTTCAGAAAATTTTCATTCATACTTTCACCATAAATATGATTCTTGCAAATACTGGTTTGTTATTATACAACGGCTGTATGAAACAAATCTATTCCGTCATCAAGAACTAAGATAATGAAAGCTTGCGAGATCTATACGTCACACTGTTGCCAATTTGCACTGATGACAACTTCAACAATTCATAACTTCCTATTTTTAATCGGATATTGCTCAATTTATCACTTTTTCTCTCATTTTTCTACCAGAGCTCAATATTAGCTTTAAGGTGGAAGATAATCATATATTGATGCAGTATCAACTATCGAGAATCTCAAACCTTCTTGATTAAGGGCTGGTAACAAAATAATTAGTGTTTGATCAAAGGGATTCAAAATATGTAAAGATTATCTGTCATAACAATCATGTGATCAATGAAGACAAAAAAGACCTCCTAGGCAGCCTAATACTCATCCCCAGTAATATGCTCTTTCATATTCATTGCTTTTATAGCCTCGATGATAGCCTTCATCTCTTTGGCCATTATTGTAATGTCACTAATACTTTTAGAGTTTTATTCAACCTTTACTTTAAATAATATTATTTTTCCCCTTTCAATCACTTTGATATTTCCAGATACTTTCTAGCAGCAGGGTATGCTGTCATCTTCCTGCATCGGGCAAAGTCAGCCAAGCCCTTTGTCAGGCATTTCCCAGAAGAGAAACTCCTTGATCTTTTTGTAATGCCAGATGAGACCAAGTCAAGTTCAAGTGCAATAACAGGTAGAATATCTTTCTCTCTCTTGTATCCTTCCTCCGCTAACATCGGAGATCATCGGCACTGTGAGTCTGCTGAAGTTCCATAAATGGCTTTCTATAGGTCGCTGGGGTATTAAAAGGTTGTTAAGTAGATTTTGACGGGTTGTGTGAAGATTGCGTTTAGATAATTGTATGCAGCTGTGTTTTGGCACTATCGCTGGATCCAGGAGGGAGAAAGAGCACCGACTCCAAGAACAGCGTAAGAACAGTATTGTTTGAACTGCTTTGTGTTGGGGTTATCCTTAATACATTTAATAAGGCCTTGACTCACAGATGAATGAGCTGGGCAAGTTGCAACAAGGTGCTCAACATCTTCTCACTCATTCTCAGTCATCAGCTGCCTTCCCGATCCTGACAAGCCTGACTTGGATCAGGAAGACTTTGCAGGAGATATTGGCTCGAATGGGGATAGCTGGCCTCAAGTTTGGCATGGCGATATGCCCAGGATACAGATCCTTGGCCTTTGGTTTAGGTTTTCTTGTCCACAGGGATAAAGAAGTCCTGTTAATGAGGGCAACATGCTGTCTGGCCTCAGAAGCTTGCATCACTGCTGACTGCACCATCCACTTCCATAGTTGGTAGTTGGTGGGAAGGCTGAGCTGCTTTAGAGCCAAGCCCCATTGCTGGATAGAAGAGGTGTAGGAAAAGATACCATGAAGGAGCATCCTGTATTCAATCCTCTCCAAGTCAATGTTTGAACAGGTGGATCTGTGCTTTAATAATAATAATAATAGATCACATTTATAACGTGCCTAAAACATTGTTTCTAGGTGCTGTGGTACTGTTGCCCCAGCAGCCATTAAGTGAAGCGATGTCCTTACACAAAATAAAAGTCGGGACGACAGCACCACGATTACACAATATTATTCAGTACAAAATTACAGTATGTTACCCTATGTAACGTTACAATACAAGTTTGTTACAGATAAATGAATAAATCAACTTAATCTAACTTAATTGTGCTAAAGATGACTTATTTCATAACGAATAGTAGTACGACATCATTTATTTATTTGACAAGTTTAGAGAAGACAAAATTCATGATATAGATTTGAACAGATGGGTTTTTAACATTACTTTGAAAGTGGATATAGAAGGAGCATTTTGGATGTAGGACGGGAGGCTATTCCACAACTGGGGGGCGGCTACAGAAAGTGCTCTATCACCGTATCTTGTTTTCACACGAGGGCCAGGAATTAGTTGAAAGTGAGAGGAAGTTGAAGCACACAACCTGGAGGAGGGGTGTTTGGATTTTACGAGACTGGAAAGGTACGTGGGGCATTCACCGTTACAGATTTTAAAGGCAAGGAGAACTGGCAGCCGTTGGAGATTGTGGAGGATTGGAGTAATATGTTCATAAGGTCTTGAGCGGGTAACTAGACGAGCGGCAGCATTTTGGATACGCTGAAGAGGAACAAGGTTGGAGGGTGGCAAATTAACAAGAAGGCCATCACAGTAGTCCAAGTGGGAAGTGACAAATGCATGTATCAGTCGTTCTGTAGTGGGTTAATCTAAAAAAATTCCTAATTTTACAAATTTTGTGGATACCATAAGATACAGCTTTACATACTTTCCTTATGTGAGTCATCATATTAAGAGCAATGTCTATGGTAACACCCAGGTTTTTGGCCGATTCAGAGGTACACAATATTTTGTCATCTAAAACAAAATCTGGCATGGGCAAGGGTTTACGAAACTGAGATGTGATGTGAAGTAATTCAGATTTGTCACTGTTAAGCTTAAGATAGTTTTTCTGTGCCCAACATTTCACATTACTAACACACTCTTCAAGATTTGTCAAGCTAACCAACCGGTGACAGGGTTCAAGGATTACATACAACTGCGTATCGTCCGCGTATGTTACATGGTGTATGTTTCTATGTCCATTTATTACATCACTGAGTGGGCTTGTATAAAAAATAAACTTGAGCGGCCTTTGAGCAGTGCTGTTTCTGTTGAGTGAAACTGCCGGTAAGCTGATTACATATCAGAAAATAGACAATTAAGATACACTTTCAATTAGTTACAATACGTTCCATGATTTTGGCAACAAACATAAGATTAGCTATAGGGCGATAATTCTTTAAATCATTACGATCTAAATGGGGCTTTTTCAACACCGATGTTACATGAGAAGTTTTAAACGCTCTTGGGACAATACCAGTACATAATGACTGATTGAAAAGCTTGGTAATAAAAGGCGATTCAGCATTGCTTTGGAGAAAGGCAGGATGGAGCAGCCATACAGCATCCGTGGCACACAGAATGTTGTCCAGAGCTTTGCCGTGATGTGAGGTACAACCCTTGCTCTGAGTGGAGAGGTTCCAACTAGGGCATAAAAGGATCTGTATCCTTTGGTGATTGAATCTGCTGCATAATCATGTTGAGGGTCACATGTCCTGGTAATGCCAAGGTGCTTGTAGGAGGATACCTCATCTATTGGCTCGCCATCGATATGCCAGGAATGTCCGCTGATTGTACGATGTTGGTTCAGCACAATGACAGCGCTCTTAGTGGGGTTGATCTTGTATCTTCATTCTTGAGTATACTGGAATGTGATGTTAGGCATCTGTTGTAGCTATGTTGGGTTGTTACTAAGGAGAGCAATATCATCAGCAAATGCTATGGCACCTATGCAGAGGTTCCTGATTGTGCAACCTATATGTCATTCTCTCAGGAGTTTGATGAGGTCATCAATGTAGAGTGTGTAGAGCGTGGGAGATAAAACACCTCCTTGCCTTACTCCTCGTAGGACACGAAAAGAGGGTCCTACAGAATGGTCCCAGAACACCTTGCTTGAGCAGCTGTTGTAGAATTCTGCACTGGTATGCAGCTGACCTGGGGACGGGTGTGTTGCTGCTATCTTTGCCAGAAGACCTTTCTGCCAAACCCTGTCAAATGCTTTCTGAGCATCCAGCATGGCAATGTATAGTGGAATTATTGCAGAGAAAATTAGTTTTGTCAAATTAATCAGTTTGAGAATCGCTGTATGAAAAGCAAAGTTCTTTGTGTAGATATGCTTAAAACAACTGAAATTTTGCCGGGTTTTACCTCAAAATTATTTTAATTTGTTTCATATTTCTAGTAAAAATATATATCTATCCTTTTTGTGCTCATTTTTGTTCAAGTTATGAACTTGGGTATACATGTAGTACATCCTAAATTTCATTTGCATATTTCTTGACAGTAAAACCAAATGAGTCCACTAGACTTGCCAGGGTGCTACGAGCCTACCATTCAGCATCCTCCTCCAACAGTCTTCTCTCCATCCCATTCTTCTCTCTTCAAGACTACCTCTACTTCCTGAAAAGCATCTCCGACGTCTTGGGTCAGTTGGAACAGAAGAGCATGTTCCTCCTGGCAGCAGCGGTCTCAGACTTCTACATACCCAGGGCTGAAATGGTTGGTAGACATAGACTTGCAATGGCATGGGGGGGGGGGGGGGGTGTACACATCCGACTCATTCCCCCTCCCCCTTCAAAACAAATGTAGCATACCTGAAGTACACAACTCCAATTATATGACCCCACCCCTTTTTGAGGTGGCGATGTTTTTTTTTTTGTAGTAGTTGTTATTTTGTTGGGTTTTTTAATGGGGTGCAGAGGGGGGAGCATGTCAGAAACTTTTAAGAATACCCTCCTTTGCAATAATGGATCCGCTTCTGCCAACTGATCTGGATTTCAAGAAGTGAATCATATGTAAACATGGAAAACTATAATGGTTTGATAAAATTTTGGTATAAAACAGAGTTATAAGCCCAGGAAATATCGAATTAACTACCACTGATGTCATACACGCAGCAATAAAAGTTTGAAAAAAGGGGACACTCTTTATTGTTCAAAATGTTTATATAAATCATTAATAAAATATATATCAAATTAAATTTTAAAAATAACACTCTACTATCTTTGATGAAGATCAAGTTTGGAACTTTCACACTTGGATGGGCACATTGATTTACCTGTTAGAAAGTGTGGTTAAGAAAGTGGCAAAATAGAGTAAATAATCATTTAATGTTAATGAACATATGCATAAGTCTGTAAGACATTCTTTTTCAACAATGAAAACAAAAAATGAGAAACAATAAAGATTGTTGATTGTAACTATTTTCTCGGCAAATTATTTATTTATTAAATGTTTGTATAAATTCCATCAGTGTTCAACTGCATATCTTCTTAGTTTGCATAAAGAGAGGTTAAAATGAAAACACTGCCTTCCTTGTTTTTTCTGCATCATGAGACATGACTATTCATTCCCCAAAAAGTTTTGCATCCTTTTATACATCCTTTTTATAGCTTCAAGGTAAACTTAACTTTTTACTGTGATCATTCTGACAATGACAGTCTTTTTGACTGGAGGAAATGCTAGATCATACCCGAGGAATGTAAACTTTATTTAATTAACCGAAACATGCAATTCCTGTTTCTTCCACACAGCCTGAACACAAGATGCAGTCATCAGAGGGTCCTCCAGAGGTCAAACTAAGCTCTGTTCCTAAGATGCTTCCAGTTCTTATCCACCAGTGGGCTCCAGAAGCCTTCATCGTCTCTTTCAAGCTGGAGACGGATCCCAAACTTCTGCTCCTCAAATCCAGAAAGGCTCTTGATACATACCAGCATCAGGTAAGCCTGCTATATGATTGATCAGACAGAAATAACATGTAAGATGGTGAATTCTTTAATAAAACTGACATATTTTTTAACCTAAGGGGAAGATGTGGTCAATGGATCCAGACATAGACTCGGCTTAACTACCCTCAATGCCAGAAAGAAGTTTTTGCTCTACATTTTGATGGACCCTATGAATGATGTCAGATTTTTAGATAATTCATTTTTTTTGTAAGATGGATCTGGAGTATGAGCTGCAAAGAGAGAGAGGGAGAGAGAAAGAAAGAAAGAAAGAAAGAAAGAAAGAAAGAAAGAAAGAAAGAAAGAAAGAGAGAGAGAGAGATAGATAGATAAATAGATAGATAGATAGATAGATAGATAAATAGATAGATGGAGGGAGGGAGAGAGAGAGAGAGAGAGAGAGAGAGAGAGAGAGAGAGAGAGAGAGAGAGAATTTATCTCTCTAGCCATAGTGAAAATTAAAAGAATATGTACAGTAATTTTGATGTGTCTTATGCCCTCTCGTGTTGTTTTTTGTCCATCTTTAGATGTATAATTGCCTTGTAAGTGCCTGCATATTGTTTTACCAGTAATAAACCCTTTTGCAAAGGTACACTTGAAAAGCACTGGATCATGTTCATTGGTGGAGGTATTGCAATATGTGAAGGGTATTGTAATATGGGGGTATTGTTATATATGCAACACTAGCTCTCAAATTTCAAGCAATAACAAATCATGCAAAGAAGAATTACATTTTGTTTCATAATCTAATGAAAAGAGTGTGAGAATTACAAAAGGGTTGTAGCTAGAAGTACCAAGCTAGGGAGGGATAGAGAATGGAGGTAAAGGGAATTAATAGGAAATTGCCTGAGTACAAAGGAGAGATGAAGAGAAGAGAGAAAAATAAAAATAAAAATGGGTAGGGGATGCAGAGCAAAGGCAGGCAGGTACAGGCAAGAGAGGCAGGGATAGGGGAGGGAGGGCGGCAGGAAAAGAGAAGGCATGGAGTTAAGAGGTGGCGGGGGGGGGGGGGGGGGGGGGGGGGAGGGAGAATACAGGAACAGAACATAAAATGGAAAAAATAATAAGCAATAGGTAGATAGGCTTAGAAAAGCTAGATATTTTTAAAATGTATATAAACTACCGGTAAGCAAATTTTTTAAAGTAAAAAATATGGGAGAGAAAAGGAGTATAGGAGAATGATGAAAGATTAGTAAAGCAGTTCAGCATAACCAGGGTTAATACATTTCCCAGGCCAGACAGGGGGAGGGATGAGTTAGATTCAACTGTGACACAGACTGTAGATACACTTGATGTGCATGTGATAGAATTGTGATGGGTTGCATGCCTCAAAATGAGGTCATCCACTTACCGGTAATACTTAATCTATTTTGGTTTTGCTTCTGCTTTCTGTAGCTCAATTGTTTATTACTCATCTTATAAAGGGAAGGTCAAATGTGGATTTTTTTCCGGGATTGCTGAACAAATAAGGCAAATCTGTATTTTTACAGTTAATTAAAAAAACAGATGACTCCCAGGGAGTAGAAGAATCGTGCTTTTGAAGCCATTTACAGAAGGCAGAAAAGATTATCACTGTCTGTCTTGATCTTTTTTGTATGTCTGCCTGCCTCTGCCTATTTGTCTATCTCTCTCTCTCTCTCTCTCTCTCTCTCTCTCTCTCTCTCTCGGCTCTATCTCTCTCTCTCTCCCTCCCTCCCTCCCTCCCTCCCTCCCTCCCTCCCTCCCTCCCTCCCTCCCTTTCTCTCTCTCTCTCTCCCTCTTTCTCTCTCTCCCTCTCTCTCCCTCCCTCCCTCCCTCCCTCCCTTCCTCCCTTCCTCCCTTCCTCCCTTCCTCCCTCCCTCCCTCTCTCACTTTCTTTAGAACCCTCACCTTTTTCTCTCAGACCCTGTTCTCATTACAAGAGATAGTGCTATCCAGTGGGCGCTAGTCTTGCCTTGGCGATCCAAAACAGGGAACCTTTGGAGCACCTCCTGGGGGTGTAGCACATGAGATAGAGGGGTCTTGTGAGCTTCACATCAAGCTATCTCCTGTAATGAGAATACTTAATTCACATGGCTTGGACTAACACCCTAGAAGTGGTTTGTTGACTTCAGTGGCAACCAGTCATTTTGTATTAAATTGAGAAATGTATGTGCGCTTTCATGTAAATGGGGAGTCTTTTAATAGAGCACCCCAACTGACTGCAGGTGCAAACCTGGAGAGTTCCCATGGCCCTCTCTGTCCTGCGCCACAGATTGTGCCGTCTTGGAGCAATCCATGGTCCAAACTCATAATGAGAACAGGGTCTCAATCTCTTTCTCTCTCTCTCTCTCTCTCTCTCTCTCTCTCTCTCTCCCTCTCTCTCTCTCTCTTTCTCTCCCTCACAATCTTTTTGTCTGATCAGTGCAGGATTCAACTCACGCACAGGTGTAACGAAAGTCATATTGAAAGTCAGATAACAATCCGATTTTGCCGAACCGACAAATTGAAATCTCTTCATTTGAATGTCTCTCGAAAAATTTAAAACATTTGTATAGTTCTTTGACTGCTCAGTCTGCCATTATAATTATGGAACAGCAATGTTTGTATTTTCAGAAGGTTTTGATCCGGTGCTCATTGGTCTATCTTGTGATTTCAGATTATGTTACTTCTGGAACAGTGGCTTTTTTCAGGCTTCATAATGTACAGGACTACAGGGCATATTGGGCTTGAACGTGTCAAAGTCTCTTTTCAGGCTTTTTAAAAACTGTAATGTGGTGAAAGCTATGTGTTAATATCTTTTCTCCATTTATTTCATTCAAAAGTCTCATGACATAACCATGACAAGAATCAGGATTTTTTAATGAAATAAATGGAAAAATTGCATGATTTAAGTTGTCATTGCACAGAATCACCAAAAACCAACTGGTATCACTGTATTTTAAATATATAGCAAATTATAATTATACTAAATTTTATGTATTTATGCCATGTAAAGATATGTGGCTCTCAAATATTTTATTTCAATATTACTTATGTTCATGTTCAATATATATATATATATATATATATATATATGTATGTCATGTTACTAAGCACACTGATTACTTGATATTAATAGATACTGAATTGAAGGTTATATTAATGTTGTCTGTACAGTATCAGAGGTTTCCTTGAACTAATATTTCAATTTTCCTTTTGTCTAGCAGCTAATCTAATTATGACGTTGAGGAAAGACATACCGGTACTGAAGTGACCTCTCTCAATTAAATGCATTCATTTGATATGAAATGTGCATTATTCACAACAAATCACAAATTGTTTGACTGTTTAGGATGTACTGGATATTGCATCTTTCTCTTTCTCCGGATATATAAATAGTGACTTATGTTCGCCTGACCCTGTACTGTAGATCGTAAAATATAAGTGATGCTATGTGCTGCATGCATTACAATGGAATCATCTCAATGTTTATGCCACTTTGAAAATGAACAATTCTCTTTGATGAAACATAATTTAGTAGATGAAAGTCTTCCTTCTATTCTTTCTCTGTAACCTTCTTTATGAACGTGCGTGTGTGTTGATGTACGGGTGCGTACTTGTATTATTTAAGTCCTTTACTTTGTATTGTTAATTTATGTGCATTATCTTCTTATTGTTTGTTTGCAGGGCCCCGATTACAAGCAGATTTCTGCTTCTTAGGGGTCCTAACCATTATATTGTATATTGTATATTGTATTTTCATTGTAAATTGTTTTTATACTGGTTAAATAAATGAAATGAAATGAAATGAAATGAAAAAAGTAGTACACTAGAAGCAGTGGCACTGAGCAAAATTCAGATAAATGAGTTTAAATAGTGCTAAGATCCTCCCTCATGTAACCTACACCCTTGAAAATGGATGTTTTGGTCTTTTGGACAGGACAGTCAGAACCTTGAGCATGTACATGAATAATGTCATAGCCATTGAATTCTCAAATACTAGCATTTTGTTTGTCTTTCTTTAAAAGTTGTGTCCCTTAAAGTGACCGCCTTTCCCTGTTGGAGATAGCAAATCCAATTTCAGGGATTGTCTTATATTGTGTCTTTATATTAGAGGTACGATAAAATCTTGAATCATTGATTAAAGGTTAGAACTCTTGTTAAAGGTGAATTTATTCTTTTTTGAGTGAAAACAAATATTTGTGTGAATTGAGCATAAATTTATCTTGCATTAAATTAAAAAAAGGACATTTTCAGACAAGGTGTTAATCATTTGGTGTGCTTCTTGTACCCCTCTTTACCTCTTTGCATTCTGAGTACATACATTTACAAAAATGCATGGGCAGACAAAAATTGCCCTTAATATTTGTTATTCTGTGTTTCTTTCTCTTGGAAATCACTCTTTATTAATCACACTTAGTGATTTACTTTGCCCTTAAAATGCAATGAAGGGCAAATCGTTTTGGAGGACTAATAACACAAACAATGGAAAACCACTATTGACTTTTGACAGACATAAGGGTATGCATGTATGTACAATGTAGCAGTCTGGGGGTTAGATCCATAGCATGTAAGGGTTGAATATGAAAACATATCAAATTATCAATTCATGTGGAATTTTGTTATACTCAAGACAACAATGAATTGTATACATAGCAGACTAATCAAAAGACCTCCCCAATTTACCAAGAACACATTGGATCATGACCCTGCAGATTGTGGACTAGTGATTCCAAGCAATCATGTTGCCATGACTACAGTAGACGATGTTGTCAATCCCTGTGTTTGGCTGGCCCTCTGTGTGGTTTATCCTGCTGGCTCTACTCATACAACATTCTTGTTCAAACATGCAATGGCACCCCATAAATTGGATGATTAGGGACAATTCAGAAAAAAAAGTGAAATACTGTGTGAGTCAAAAAAAAGTTTACACCTTGAAAATTGCAAATTATTTCAAAAATCATCCATGAACAGTAAATTATTATACATCTTATGAAAGAGTGTGTTTTGTCCTAAATCATTTGGTATCATTTTTGTGTGGTATGTGTTCACGCTTGGATAAACAGGAGGCATTGTTTGCGAGAGTGCAAAAATTGAAGTGCAAGTCACACTGTATATTCCCTAATGAATTATGCAGACCCTTGACATATTCTTATTCAGTAATGAAAGGGTCTGCTTCATTATTGAGAAGAAAAAAAAACCTGTTCCAATGTTTGTCCTTATTTACCCTGTATAGTTCATCTGAACTACCTCACGAGTTGTTCACTATTTTATCTGTTTGTCCTCCTCTTGGCAAGAATTATTTTTATGTCCATTTGGGATGTTTTAATAAAAAAAATAAACAATCCGATTCATTGAAACATTACCTTTGCTTAGATGTGTGACCGTGTCATTACACTTTTTTAATTTTTACTTTAATTATTTACAGCACTGTACTTCGATTAGCCAGTGGCTTTTATGTTATGAATGTAGAGCATCTAGATATCATGTGATGATCATCCCAGTTTGGTGTGATGGAATCTGTAACATATAGATTATGTTAGAGCTGTTAAACCCATTGATCATCTAACATCATCCCAGGAAGGAGTCATTCAGATCTCATGTAACACTCCTCAACATAGGGTCATAGGAAGAAATCAAAGTCGTCTAGTTTCCTTTAATGTCTACACGTTTAATTAGGATTACCAGCGCACTGTAATGGCTGTATATGCTGAAAGTCACCTTCAAAGGTTTTTTTTTTAAAGGCACATTTGTATTTAATCATATGGAAATAATTATTCCTACACTTTATTCAAACTCAGTAGACTGATAGGGGAAACATTGGTGAAAATAATAGAAATAATTAGATCTACTATTTAAGTTTAAACTCATTTGGTTTAAGGAAGAAAAAAATGTTAAACAATAATGGTGTTGTAACACTTGTTGTTATTTGTTTTAAAATTTATCAGTGTGGGAAAGTTGAAACTAATCAACTATGAATAAATTCTAACCCAAAGTGCTTATTAGACTAATATTCAATGGTCACAATTAATCTTATGAGATCAGAAAGGAATTGATATGATCATTTTTAATCAGAGATTAATCCTGGATGTAATAGGACTTTACAGCATGCCTATTAGCCTATGGCATGCTTCACTCCAGCCTAATGCTTAGTAGTAGAGCTACATGTATATTCAGGCCAATACACTGTCTGTAGGAAATCCCAAACCAATTTTGCTATAGTGATAAATTGCTCTGACTCCTCTTAGTTTTGTTTTGTCAGCAATATAACATTAGGGTAAGGGTCGCAAATGCAAAATGGTTTTATACCAGCTTTATGGTTAGGGTTGTTTACAGGGGTTGGGCCCAGGGGTGAAGTTAAGAATTTTAAAGGAAGGAAATTGACCCGAAGCAATTGTTGCAGGAGCATGTGTTATATTACCTGTATCTCAATTATAACTGAATAATTGGTTTTCAACATTAGCATCCTTCAAACGACAGGATTCTGACTTTAACTTTACAAGTGAACCATACTTCAACTTCTCTTTAGATATGTGTACAGTTTGCAGATGATATATGATCTTCCCAGTGTACAGTTTGCAGATGATATATGATCTTCCCCAAAAATGAGGTCCATTTAGGAGTTAATTTTGTTGGTGATGTTGCCATGGGCATTGGGATACATGTCATGTCTCTACACTGCAATACTAACCTTTAACACATTGAGTGAACTTTCTGAGGTATGTGTCTAGGTAATATATTCTTTCATAAAATGATTGCATCCCTCAATAATGATTCGCTAAATTGATCACCTCTTTTTTTCAAATTGGCAACATTACAATTTTCTTTTACTTTTATATCATTCTCATCAAAAGGCATGTACAAATGTATCTGAAAGGAAATATCTAGTATCATCACATGAGTGTAGAGGTTTTAAAAATTGCCAATGAGCATTAAAAACAGTGATATGCATCCCTCAAGAGGTTGACAGTCTAAAGATTTTAATCTTAACCCTTATTTTCTCTTTTTGAAATTTAATGTTGTCAAATACAATGTAACAATGCAACAAAAATGGACATGTGTATGCAGAAATCTTTGCTTTTTCTACTTTAATATAGTCTAGTAGTATATTCAAGTCTCTGAATCAAAAGTTATTTAGGCAATCCACAAAATGTATGTAATTGCAATGAAAAGGTACACAGAATTTGATAAATTAATTCTCACTAGATGAATAGAAATTGACCTGGATGCAGACTGTGCATTTGTTAGCCGTAGCAATTATCAAGTTATGAAATGTCTAACCTGATGAATTTCACAAGGTGGCTTTGGAATATAACTTGGATTAATGTAGCAAGAGGATGGATTACATAACTTTTAATTGAAAGGAAATCTTGTCTCAGTAGATGTGTAGTAGACGTGTCTGTGCTATATAAGACACTTCAAGATGTATTTCAAGTTGAAATATCATGTAAGCCGGTAGACGACCTTACTGTCTATAGGCCTTGCCTTGACTTGAGCAGTCAAAATGTGGGTACATAATGCCATGTGACCACAGGTAACGAGCAGGTACGTGCTTCTGTCTCTGCCGCTCTAACATTGTTTTTGTTCTTATATGATGATATATTCTTATATGAAGTTAGGCTTCGACACCCTTGCATGACCTCCCAGGGATGGTATAATCAATAGTTGTATTATGTGATGGAGCATTCAGTAGGCCCCCCTCCCAATCAATAGAAGTACTCTAGTTTCAAAACATGACTTATATAAGGGGGATTGGGTTATTGTATTCTCTCTATGTATTAAAGTCGAAATGATCAGACCAGATCAACTTAGTCTGACTCGTCAACAGAACATGGTATTCTACTGTCCGTTGAGAGCCAGAAGGACGTTAAGTATGTGTTGAATAATGTGAGTTACACCCTTTAGCAATCCAACTCTAGCTTATTAATTACCAGACACTTTCATCTTTGTCATTTTTTACTGGCTTTGCTCTGTTGAAGCCTTTATTTGTTGAATAAATCTTGATATAATAAAAGTGTTTTGTGTAATAATTAGTAGACCAGTGTTATAAAGAAGATGCATTCCCATCCAGATATATAGTGAAAATGATCAGTCTGAAGTTGATAATATTTCTGTCGTAGAACTTTTTGATAATATTCATTTTGAGGTAAACTACTAACATTGATGTTCAATTGTTCATGGTAACAACTTCAGTCACCCCCCCCCCTCCCTCTACTGTTTAAAAAGTTCTTAGATATCTACACAAAACACTTCGGTTCTGAAGCGACTGCATGTTGTCACACTTGATTCTTGCAGTACCAAATTAGTGAATGAGTGGATCAATGTGATGAATTACTGACTCCATCATGTTATAATTAAGTGTATAATTTTGTATTCGCTATGTAATTATTGACATCAATTTCATCATCCTGTATGATTCTATCCTACTATAAATTGTTTAAAAATACTCATAACCCCAAAACCTGAGGAAATTGCAGTGTCCTTCAAGAGAGAATGAGATATCCATGTTTTGATTTTTAAGTGGTGAAATTGGTATAAATTTACTGATATTCTTCTCGCAGTTCTGTAGTTTAATCGCTTTATCTTTGATATTGACCTCCATTTCATCATTCCATATCTGTTGTTAAAGAGTCAATATTTAGCTGATAATCCCTTTATCAAGAGGTTTGGTTTCTCCTAAGGATGTTATTTACATTTATTTTTTCCACAATATTTACATTGGAGTGTCCTACTGGTGTCATTGTAGGCTTATCTTGCATCATAACAGAGCAGAAAAGTTGATTAATTTAGAAACAGATCATTAGAATTAGTCCATGATGTTTTGTCCCATACATGAAGAACTGCGCCAAAGATCTTTATGTTTTTCATAGCTATTAGCTAGTACTTGATAGCTCTATTAAACTAAAATACCAAGGAAAAGAATACTTCCCATTTTGATCATAATAACAGTGTTAGGGTTATTTGTATAATGCTGTAAATATATATGTTATTAATTACCTTGTGAACATAGCCCATGTAAATTAGCATGTGCTTCTTAAAATCTGCCTTTTTTCATAGGAAATGTATTCTTTTTTGTAATTATCCTAGAAACTCGAAAGTCCTAATTATTTCTGGCATTATCGGCTACATGAATCAAATTTATTGGCATTCATATTGCCTTTACAGATGAATGACACTGCTTTAAAAAAAAATAAGTTTCACATATTCTTGACATCAACTTTTCCCTTATACATTATGAATATTTGTTATACTAATCTTTCTACATTGCTTTTTTCTGACTGTCTAGGTAGTAGTTGCCAACATTCTGGAGGAGAGACGGAGGAAGGTCACCGTTATCACTTCACTAAAGTTGGTGTGCACCTCTATAGGTAGCCTCTCTCATTTTGAGCTCTGTAATTTGTTTCATTTTTCACCAATTTTGGTTGGATTTAGTATTTGTATTTTCAACATTGTGTTTGATATTGGTCAAGGAACAGAGGTAATCAATTTGTAAGGTGTATTTTGGTGTGAATTTGCAGTATTTTTGTTAAGTTTAATGTTTGATGTTCTTGTTCAATTTTACTGTACAGGCATGTGCATTAAGCTTTACTGGTACTTTGCTTGTATACCATTTGAATGTACTGACATTCACAATAGTCTCTTTTGTATGCTCCTTTTGTGTAAGCTATTCCTGCTTGTACAATGGATGGAAAGCCATTGAAAGTGTTGTTTTCTATAGGGCTTGTTATTTCTATTCTGTACACTTTGAATCAGCCCTATATAACCAAGGAATGTTTCACTTGTACTGGCTCACACATGAAGAGCCTCCACTGTAAACATCTCAAATATTGTAGTCAACCTATACTATACTACTGTAATTCGACAGCTACATTTCGATGTCTCCTTAATTCTGGAGATATCCAGCCCAATCCTGGTCCAGTGAATCGCACTGAGAATGTTTCCAATATTGGCCATACCAACTCACCTCCTTATTCAGCTGATTGTACAGCTTTACATATTTCATACAACTTGAATGATCTCCATCAGATTAATAACCAGCCGCTTAATTTACTACCCATGAATGTTTGGAGCAGGATTTGCGATCTTGGCATCGGTCGCCGACGTCGAACTCATCGCGGACGTGGGCGGCGTACGATGCCAAGGCCGGATTTCCCTCCACCAATGTCGGTATCATCCAATAGCCTCAAACTTGGCCTTTGGAATGCACGTTCCATGACCAATAAAACACACGCAATTACTGATTTGATTGTTGAACATGATCTAGATGTTCTAGTTATCACCGAGTCGTGGCTCTCTGGAGACAGTAAGAGGGATGGTCTCATATTAGCTGATCTAAGATCTAGTTTGCCTAATTATGATTTCACCCATCGACCCCGGTTATCTTCCAAGGGCGGTGGGATTTTGCTTCTCTATAGATCCACGGCTCGCTGTACCTTGAACAACAACAATGATTTTGCATCTTTTGAATTACTGGATGTCACACTCAATCTGACACCTTCATCTGCTGTAAGGTTGTACTGTATTTATCGACCACCCCCGTCTGCCAATAATAATCTCTCCAACGGCACATTCTTGGATGAATTTCCAACTCTCCTTGAAGGTGCTGTTGTAGATGATCATTTTCCTCTATTATTGGGTGATTTCAACATACATGTTGATGATCCCAATGATAATTTTGCAAAATCTGTTATGACATGTGTTGATTCGTTAGGGTTCAAGCAACATGTTCGTGAACCAACCCATCGCGCAGGTCACACTCTAGATTTGATTTTCACAAGGAATTCGGATGATGTCTGCAACGTGAACTCGCTATCTTCCATGCCTTCCGACCATTGTGCACTTGTCACCACTGTCAATATCGCAAGGCCGAAGAATCCCAAGAAAGAGGTTTCCTTCAGGAAATATCGCAGCATTGACAAGGACTCTCTACGCAACTCTATTGACACAATGTTCCATTCACTTCCTGATCTATCTTGTCCATCTGCTTCCGCGGAGCATTACAACTCATCTTTGCGGACGTTGATTGATGAGCACGCTCCAATCCAGGTCAAGACTGTATCAATCAGACCTGATGCGCCATGGTTTACCGATGATATCCAGGAAGCCAAGAGGCGAAGGCGTCGTGCGGAACGTCGTTCGATCAAGTCTGGACTTTTTGTTGATAGAGAGCTGTACCGCCGTGAATGCGAGTCATATTATGAGTGCATCTTCAATGCGAAGTCAGCGTATCTCAAAGATCTCATCAAGAATGCTGACACTAAAGAACTGTTTCGTCTTGTGAAGACACTCTCAACGCCCACTCAATCTTCACCTCTTCCAGATCATTCTTCTGATAGTGAACTCGCCAACAGATTTGCTACATTCTTCAGGGAAAAAGTGGCCAAAGTTGTATCCTCTTTCCCTAATGTAGTACCAGCACCAGCTTCAAGATCTTTTGCTCCAGGCCCTCGTCATGAACTCTCTGATTTCTGCCTTGTATCCCTCTCACAAGTCAGGAAGCTCATCACTTCACTTCCTTCTAAACACTGTAAGCTAGATCCGATTCCTACCTGGCTTCTAAAGGAAGTCCTCGATGAACTCCTTCATCACATAACCAAACTGTTCAATCTCTCGTTATCATCCGGAATAGTTCCAGAGTCTTTTAAGACTTCTCTGCTTCTTCCCCTCCTAAAGAAGCCGAGTCTCGACACGAATGGACTTAAGAACTACAGGCCCATCGCAAACCTGCCATTCCTTGGGAAGGTTTTGGAACGTATTGTGTCACTACAGCTGAAAGCCCACATTGACAATCTCGGTTTGTTTCCAATCCACCAATCTGCCTATCGGAATCATCATTCTACTGAGACTGCAACTGTCAAGGTCCTAAATGACCTACTTCTAGCTGTAGATAAGGGTAATGAAGCTGTCCTCATCTTGCTTGATTACACTGCCGCATTTGACACTATCAACCACGACCTGTTACTCCATCGCTTAGAGAACGACTTCTCCATCACCGGCACCGTACTTCAATGGATTCGCTCCTATCTCATGCACCGAACTCAGAAGGTGATCATCAATGACACCAACTCGGAATCATTTCCCCTCATCTGCGGCGTTCCTCAGGGTTCCGTGGTCGGCCCCCTCCTGTTTATTCTTTACACCAGCCCTCTCTCAAATGTTATTAACCTTCATCAGAATATTCAACACACTATGTATGCAGACGACACCCAGATTTATGTAACTCTTCACCCAAACAGCAGGACAGTAGCCGCGAACAAACTCACCAGTTGCCTCAATGAAATCAAAACCTGGTCTTTTCAAAACTGTCTCTGCCTTAATGATTCAAAATCTGAAATGATTCATATTACTTCTAAATTTCGGAACTCAGACCCCTTTCCTGATCTTGTTATGAGTGATGGCTCTCTCAGTTGTTGTGCTTCTGTGCGTGACCTTGGTTTAAATATTGACAGCAATCTTACTTTCAAACAACACATTAGTAATATTTGTAAGTCTGCTTCCTTTGGTATATATAAGATCAGTAGAATCAGGAGGCTACTTGACCGACCCACAACTTCAAAATTAGTCCATGCTTTTGTCTCGACCCATATCGATTACTGTAATTCTTCTCTTTCTGGCCTCCCTCAGTCACATCTAGTCCCACTTCAAAGGGTACAGAATAGCGCTGCTCGGCTTGTGACTCTCTCGCGTAAATCAGAGCACATAACTCCAATATTGAACTCACTACATTGGCTTAAAATTCACCACCGCATATCCTTCAAAATTCTTCTCCTGTGCTACAAAGCTATCAATGGCTTAGCCCCCTCTTACCTTTCCGATCTCATATCCTTACGTTCCCGTACGTCGTCACGAACACTTCGTTCATCTTCCACATTACTGTTAACACCTGGACCCCGCACTAACACCCGGTATGGTGACCGCGCCTTTTCAGTTATTGCCCCCGCTCTCTGGAACAAACTGCCCGCCTTTATTCACTGCGCCCCCTCTGTATCTCAATTCAAATCTCTACTCAAAACCTATCTTTTCAAATTGTAAATTGCAGTTGTGCGTCGGTCAATGGAGGTGCGCACCATATTTGTCTTTATTTAGTTGATTGCCACTGTTTTTCTTACCTTATCTATGTTACTTTTGTATTTTTGCTTTTTCTTCTAATTTAATTCTACGGGTTATAGTCTTCTCTTAATCAGAACACTGTGCGCTTAGAAACATCAGTATTAAGCGCCTAATAAATGTTATGTATTATTATTATTATTACTTCAGACTCGGAAACTGAGCTGGAACTCTCTGGAGAACAGATGAAGGATGGCAAGGAGCTGGAAGAGGTTTTAGTCCAAGATCTGGTGGCCAAACATGGAGCTTTCATTCAAAGTGCTCAAGGAAGGTGATGATGATACTGGTGATGATGTTCTCTATGAGTAGGGAGGAGATGATGAGGAGGATGATGATGAGGAGGATGATGATGAGGAGAAGGAATACTGAGACTGAAATTCAGTTTGGGAATGTCGATATGAGTGGCCCACTCAACCTATAAGATACATCAACGGGTGCCCTTGAATGAGAAGTCGGTCATCTCTCAATTTAAAATATCAAGTGGCCCATGGGAAATACTCCCAAAACTCTCAAAGCTCCCCATGGTGTCAGTCTACCCCTGATGATAGAGGTGGAAAATGATGGTAATGCAAGCATGGAAGTTCTCCTCAGAGTTCTCTTCCATCTGTTATTCTTTCTTAAACCTACATTCCTTATCCATTTTTTAGTCATCCATTCATTGTATTTACCATCTAAGCAGGTATACCTACAAAACATGACTAGAATTATCATATTTACTCCTACATTTTCATAATGATTTATAGCCTTTTAATGCTTTGAAGTTACTATCCATTTTTTTACATATGCATTTAAATTGGGAAACAACACATTTAGCATATAACGTGTGAGTCAAAAAAAAGTTTACACCTAGAAAATTGCTAATTATTTTTAAAATCGTATACGAACAGTAAATTATTATACATCTTATGAAAGAGTGTGTTATCCCAAAGCATTTGGTATCACTTTTGTGTGGTATGTGTTTACGCTTGGATGAACAGGAACAACATGAACAACTTTTTTTTTGACTCACACTGTATATGAATGTTCTGAAGTTACTATTTAATTTGATTACACAAAGATTTTGATTTGGAAACACATTTGCAATATGTTTTATCGAAGCTTCCTTAGATTTTAATCATTTTTAGTGGGTACATCCATATGTGATTCAAAATCAAACTTGAGGCCTACCCTCTGAAAAACAGCCAATTTCATATCAATAATTCACCTCTAATGTATCCACATTGTGAAAAACTAAACTCTTCAGGGTTATTTTGTGTTTATAGATTTCAATTAAGTTGAGAGACATTATTAATGAGAAATGTTGTCTGAAGTGTTTCTATACCCATGATTATAATTGTTAGTCACATTCATTGTGTAAAACATAGCCTTGTGTTAGAATATGACAGGATTTATTGGAGCATTGATTTTTAAGACATTTGGCAACCATACAAGTTTTAAAGTTGGAAGAACTCCATATCAACAAGTTTTCCATGATAGGCCTCCAATTAGTCACTTGTCCGTTAGGAGGTGCAGTGTTTGATAATCACATGCTCATCACATGATTGTGCTTATGGAACCAGAGGTGAGAGATGCTTACTTTGGGAAATACATGTAGTATACAATATACATCAATGTATTTGACCATAAGACTATTTGATTCCTTGACCGGAGAGCACATCTGCACAGGTATGACAAAATCTTTAATAAGCAAGAAAGAATAAAAAGGGGTGGGGCTTACATGTATGTGTAAAAATGAGGCGCACTTTTGTTGGGTAAATGTATTAAAGGGTTTGTAATTGTAATTGTTGACCTAGTTTATTGTTAGAATTATATGCAGTTATAGAATGAATATTGATATATCAGTTCCTCTGTATTTGTTCTTGTGAACAGTTGGCAAAATATATTTTTTAATTAAAATTGCCTTTGGTATTCCATGTCCAATATGGTAAATTTACCCCTTTACTATTTTGATCTTATACGTCTGACTGGTATTTCTTACATAACTGATAGGAAGTGACAAAGTGACAATTTGCTTTTGTGCCTAGTTTTTCCACTTCACAGTATTCAAGAAATTCTACCAGAGAGAGAGAGAGAGAGAGAGAGAGAAACAGAGAGAGAGAGAGAGAGAGAGAAACACAGAGTGAGAGAGAGAGAGAGAGAGAGAGAGAGAGAGAGAGAGAGGGGGGGGGGGGAGGGGTGGGGGGAGGACTCAAGTGTAATGTGGAGTGATGAAATGTAGCTATATAAATACTGAACAGGAATGATTAATGAGTGAGAAAAACATCCAAGGAGTGGAAAGAGGAATTATTATTGAGGTAATTGCAACCCAATTCTGAACGGAGAAAACGAGCAACATCAACATTCAGTCTACATATTATAATGATGCAAACAGTAAGCCATACAAATTGTACAGCATTAAAATGTTGTACAAAAAAATAAAAACAAAAGCTATGCATGACTTTGAAGACATAGGACATGTATGTCAAATTGACACATCAGTCTAATAATGTGAAAAGATGTTATTAATTTGGTACACTTGCTCTTTGAGTTATCAAGAATTACAGGAGCGTAATTATTAAAGAATTAAAAAAGCATTTTTCACTCATTTTCAAGTCGAATCTTTAGGGCAGCAGACATAAAAGATCATCTATGAGATAAATGTAGTGCCTAAAGGGTTAAATTCTCCAATACATGTGCCAACTGAGCGAGAAGGACTCAAACATTTGCTCTGGTCACAATTGCTCTGGGCTCTATTTCATCAAAGAGGTTTAGGGATATAGCCAAATTATACATTGCAAATTTTCCCCAATTTTCTTCAAATACGTGTCCCTGCCATTCAATTTGTAAAGGTGCTCTAGATTTCTACCAGCTGTGACAGTGCTTGCCATAGAGCATTTTATTTTGAATTTGAAATACTTCTCGGGCAAAAACTACTCTTGATACTCTTTGAAAATAAAATTTATCTCTCACCATCTCTCTGAAAAATAAAATGGATCATAGCTCATATTTTTTGTCTCTCTACAACTCTCAAAGTTCTGTGTTTATTGATATGGATCTGTCTTTCTCCTTTACATTGCAAACCATTTCTTCCAAGTTCTTTCTGTCTCTCACAACTATATCACCTTCACTGTAAAACACTTTAAACTCAACAAATTATCCTGGAGATTGTTATTAAGTCTTTGGCTCATTTATTAAGCATCAATAGAAAACAAAATAGAAAATAAAATCAAACAAAAATACAACTGCCATATTACAGAATACAGATATTCTTCTTTTCTCTATAATCCTGAACATCAGAAATCTTTGAATGGATCACTACATGTAAAGCCAGGCACATACGATGAAGACATATATTAAGTTTACTACACTTTATGTATTTATACAATATACATAATGCAGCATGCTATAACACAGTATGTTGAGACATTTCACAAAAGCCATGAAATGACTTCTTCAGAATCAGAGAGGCACTTAGGGGTGTTCAATTACAAGCTCTAATGCCTTTCTGGCTCTGAACCATCACAAGGATATTAATTATATCATTCATTGGTATTACCCTGGATTTCATTGCACTCTATATAAATAACATAAGTCAAGCTGGGGTAAAGGCAATCAATGACATTGTGTGCAATAAATGACAGGTATTTTAGTTGTCCAATGGAGAATACTTCTGTTGAAAACAGAAAAATGATGATACGATTGTCATTAATGCTGTAACATCACGGATATCTCCAATTCCGTTTAACCGCCTGTCAAAACCGGACGGTTTTCGGTTAAACGATTTATTTAAAAAATAAAAAATAAATAAAAAATAAAAAAAAAAAAAAAAAAAAAAAAAAAAAAAAAAAAAAAAAAAAAAAAAAAAAAAAAAAAAAAAAATCGTTTTTTTTTTTTTTTTTTTTTTGTTTTTTTTTGTTGGCCGTGTGAAAAAGCAGGAAGGTGATTTAACTGAAGGCGCCGATTTGTGCTTGTGAACTAGTCACAAATAATAGTAACAATGTCGTTTTAGAATAATGTGTAAGATCATTAAAGTAAATTAAAAACAGTAGAGGACCTAGGATAGAACCTTGTGGTACACCATGTGTTAAACTTGGATGAATATACATTGAGATCTATTACAAAGACTACTTTCAAACCAAGATGACAGACAAATTGGAGTGTTGTTCTAGTTTCCAAGTGGTAAGTCATCACACCGATTACTGAGCTGGGAGACATTGCCAGGCATAGTGCCAGGTGGAGGGGCATAAATCGAAACTTTAAAAAAAAAAAAAAAAAAAAAAAATTAAAAAAAAAAAATTTATTAAAAAAAAAAAAAAAAAAAAAAAAAAAATCGGGAAAACGAAACCGTCCAATTGAAAACGGAATCCGCCATGGGCGGTCGGATACCGGACGGTTAAACGTTTGACTACAGCACTAATTGTCATGGTCAAAAGATTATTCATTGATGATTGGCAGTGATTCGACCAAAAAGCAATATATGCAACAGCAAAAACATCCTACTGATATTTGCATGTACAGAACAACCCTGAATGAATTCATTAAATATAATGCAACTGACCCTGTTGTAAAATGATACAGCTATTGTAGGAAACACTATTTTTAGTCTTCAAAAATGTTATTTTGGGTTATATTTCAGAACAGGAAAGTTTTACTGTTGATATTCTCAATGTTCTGTATTGCCATTTGAAAGATACTCATTTCAGATATCGCCTACAAGTTACCCATTAACATGTACATTCACGAAAATAAATATGTGTCAAACAATGAGATTTCAGTCATTCAGTCACAAAGCAAAATAAATAATTTATGTAACTAAAATACATATGCTGGAAGATGTCTGACCAGTCCAAATGATGGAATGTTTCAATCTACACTACCTCCAAATAACTACATGCTGTACAGGAGGATTGTGATTTTTTTTCCATGTCCAATGTTTTCTTTTTTTAAATTACGAAAAGAGGGGGATGCTTAATTAATGCAACTGAGTACAATATGTTGACACTTTATATATAAAAAATGTTTTGATAAATTTCTCTATATTTACAGATTTCACCAGATCATCTTGTTGATTGAGAACATAAGAATTAAGAAGGAAAAAAAAAGGATATTGACAAAGTCTGGTGGCTAGTTATGTATGTATGCACCTTAATTTACGTTACATAATTTAACTAACCATTATATTATCTATATAATAAGTTGGACATATACATTAAAATTGAGGTCTTACTTAGGATATCCAGGTTGAAAATGATTTGCATCAGAAATGATGCCAGGGCACACTTTGGCATTTGCAAATATTAAAATCCGCAAATGAAGGACATTATTCTATCTTTCCAATTAATTGTAATTGTTGAAAAGAATACATGTAGTTGCTTTGTCCTTCTTTTCCCCCACTCATTTTTAAGTCTAGAATATTAGCAAGAGATGGGCTGTGTACACTAAGACATGTATAAAAAAATATATTTCCTGCGCCATGCATTTTCTGAATCAGTGACTGGATGGAAAACAAATATATAAATATAGGTAATTTGCACTGCCCTAGAAATAATACACATGGTTAGCACGATATCTATGGTTTGGGAGTGTGGTCATAGGGTGCTCAATCGCTTAGCATCGCCGTTATTGCCAAGTTCCGAGGCGGGCAAAGTTTCTGTGCGGTCATTCACTACGTCATAGTGCACCTTGACCGGGGAAGCACTATTGCTGTGTACCAGTGGTTGCCCACTGATATTGTGGCTTCCTTTAGAGTTTGATCGGCATGGGCAACACCTCTTTCCCACGGAAAGGAGCTTGGATATAAGGCGATCCAGCGGTGAAAGGGAGTGCATCCAAAGGGGCAGGAATTCCCAGTCGAGCAGTTTTTCTGGTAGAGCTTGTGGCCGTTTGGCTTGGAGGGTGTTGACCACTACGACAAAGATAGTAATCAAGATGATGGGAACACCTACACCTAATAAGCACCACACACTGATGAGCGAAAGACCGAAGATGGAGAGGGGTAGGAAGAAGAACATGAGGATGAGGTACATGATGGCGAACCAGCGGTATTTTGCGGTGGTGTTGCCCAGCTTCTTGGCCAGCATGATTGGAATATTTCTCATTATAGGGATGGGATACCAGAGGAGAATGCCAGAGATGTTGAAGAAAAGATGGCAGAGTGCAATCTGGATACTGTTTTCCAGCTTGTCCCCAGAGCTGGCCATGGCAGCGAGTAGACCCGTCGCTGTGGTGCCGATGTTGGAACCCAGGGTCAACGGGTACATACGGTCAAGGGTGATGACCCCTACACCAACCAGTGGTGTCAGGGCGGAAGTGAAGACTGAGCTGCTCTGGACCAAGAAAGTGATGCCAGCACCGACCAGAATGGCAGCGTACCCCGTCAGGTGGCGGAAGGGTCCAGGGAAGTCTGCATTCAGGGTCTTACGGATGATACCAGCAACACGACCCTTGAGAAGGGAGTTAAGTGCCTTGACCATCATGACGAGACAGCTGCAGAGCATGACCAGAGCAATTACGAGGAGGATGCCACCGATAGCTCGATCTGACAGACCGGTATTATTGAAGATGAAGTGGCCTGGATAAAAGAAAAAAAAGGAGAAGGAAATATTAAAAGGTTGGTTTATTTCATAAAATACAATGCCAACAGATCTTTTTCATAATTATTTAGTAGATAGCTTATCATGTAAGGAGCATTTGATTTTCTTGTTCCAATATGTAACAATTTATGAAGTTAAAAAATTCATCCTTTCAAACTTAAAAAATATGCTCGATTCCTTTGTCTATTATCAACAAGTATGACTCAAAACACATAGTGTAACTTTAAAATAAAAATAAAATATTTCTTTATACTTACATTTCTCAACATTGATCTTCACCATCTGGGTGATCTGTCCCGAAGCGTCTGTGGTAGGGTTGCCACTGGGAGGTGTTGATGTACCAGTAGCGTCCCACCATACAGGATATCCAGTAGTAGTCTTATTAAATCCAGTGTCAGTGCCGGAGGTGTTGAAAACATTTCCCCAGCCTCCCCAGCCTCCCCAACCAGTCGTATAAGTAGGAGGGTAAGCAGTGGTGTTGGCAATGTAGGCATTGGCTGTTTGGTTGACAATCTGAGGGACCTCTTCTGTCTTGCACCACACTTTCAGGAGGGACTGGTTCTCAGCCTCTAGCTCTCCAGTCGCAATCTGGGAAATTTTCTTGCTGTCAATCTAAAGAAAAAGATAAAATAGAAATTATTTAGAAACGGAACAAATGTTCTGATTTCCTTTTAAAGAGGATGTATTTCAGACTTGATTCTGTGCTGCTCGACATGACATATTAAAATCTAATCTGTATACTGGCTACCTAAAACGACTCCCTTTAGGAAACATATAGAACATGTCCTGAAAGTCTTTATGTCCTTACACTGTTAACTTTTCTGCTTGCCTTACGGGTAACCCTACTTTGGGTACACATATTCAACTGTATAAAATCATCCTTTGTATCTTAAAATCACATTTTTTGAATTGTGCATTATAATAATAATAATAGCTAGTTCTTTCTTATATAGCGCTTTTCAGGACCGAAGGCCCTTTCAAAGCGCTTATCAGATATATATATATTATCAAGATTTTAGTTTCTAAACGAACTGAACAAAGTCGTGTTCTCACCTGTATGATTCTCAAGGAGAATGGTTTGGTCAGCACCTTCAGCAGTTCCAACTTGGCACCCTTCTTGGTCTCAATTTTAAAGGAAGCGACAATGAGGTTGGTCAGACGATAGAGGTAGCCGGTTGCATACTCCAGAGGCAACAGACAGATCACCGAGAGCCAGTTGAACATGTCGTGGACAACCGCCCCACCGAAGGCACGACGGAACTCTGACCTGTTACCAGACTGGGCCATGGAGACGATGGTGTTGGTGACAGAGGTACCAATGTTGGCTCCCATGATAATGAAGATGGCAGGTCTGACAGGCAGGACTGGTTTGAAAAATAAAATTAATAAATCATTTAACAATTGTGATCAGTTCATTGGAAAAGAAAGAAGAAAAAAAAAGACTGCAAAAACATACTTCATTTTTTTCCTGCTTGAACTTGGGATATAGCCTTGGTAATTCAAAGGGGATTAGTCTCTACTTTTTTTCCTCCTTGACTTTTCAACTTAATTTGTTCAGCCTGCACACATTACTGCAACATTAAGATTATAACAAATTACTCCCTTTTTCCCAATGAAATAACTACTTCAAGCAAAACTGGGGAAGAAAAAATCTGGCAAACTTACTTCCAGCCGCTACAATGCTGACAACGATAGAGGTTGAAGTGGAGGAGCTTTGGACTAGGACGGTAGCCAGGATGCCGATCATCAGACCACAGACAGGGTTGTTGAGAAGATCGTTCTGGGAGAAGACTTCGCCAGCCTCTTTACCCCCAAGGAGACGGAAAGCAGAGCTCATCAGATCAAGGGAACAGATGAAGAAGTAAAGAAGTCCAATGATGAGAACAGGCTTGAAGATCCAGCTTACTAACACTCGGCTCATCTTGCCACAGCATGTTAGCTCTATAATTATAACAATGAAAAATGGGATCGATTCATTAGCTTTGATGAAGCTAACTTAGGACTGGCAAAGAAACAGGATTTTTCGACAAATCATTGAACAAATAAGCTAATGCAAATAATAATCTTAATGAACAAAAATTGATCTTTAATCAATTCTGAGTATTGGATAATTTGGATTGAATAAATAATAACTAAATAAATATACATCGAAAAAAATCCATCATTCAATTATTTAAAAAATTCAAAAGCTGTTCAAACAATGTAAGAAAATCTTGTAGACATTCTCAACTGAGTAAATAAATCGTACTGATAAATGATAACAGATTATCAGCTTAAAGTAAACATGATCTGTTTTCTGTTAACGCTGTATTTGTTCTTGGTGTAGTATTAACAATATAAACTTGTAAAATACAACCAAGGTGATAAACCGTTGTCGTTTTTACTACATTCATTTTCAAATTTTCATCTCCCCCCCCCCTCCCCCTTTATTGGTGGACAACAGAAAAGAATTTGCAAATTGCAATGCAAACAAATATTTGTTTCTTTCTTGCTTCCCCCCTCTTCTGCAAAGACAAATTGCATTGAAAGCTAAAACCCATTTTTACACAGAAACACATGGCAGGATTAAACTCCCAAAATAGAAAGAAAGACGTTTTTCTGTTCCTCATGGAGTGGGACAAATAGCATAAAACTGCATTGCTAATGAATTCTGTGTAAGGACTAAGGATGAGGTCATATCTTTCTATGGCGTGATGCATCACATGTACATCACAGGGCAAACTCACTAGTAGTTACTACTAGACACACACACATGCTGTACATGTCTCCTGCTCCGTAGATTTTCAATCCATCCTTATACGTCAATGCACACACTTTCACACACTACACACAACTGGGTGCCCACGCCTATGGAATGCATTCAGAGAATTTCTTCATTGTGCTTAGTATGCGAATAGAAGGGAGTATACAGGGAAGTTACCTACACCGGTACCGGCATTTTGTGGAGCGCCACGTGGGGAAAGATCGGACTGCATTGAAATGCTCTTTTATAAGTGTAAGATGTGTCATGTATGATGCATATGGCTTTCGAAGGAGAGTATTCCATCAGTATATTAAGCATATGGTACTTAAGTTGAAAGCAGGTTGTACATTGCATTATTTTTTGGGGGAAATATGGGCCTTTCAGAATTATATGAAAATTAATGCATGCTGTGATCATATCAATTTAAGTCACAGTTAAAATAAAAATTACCATAACTTACCAACTAGATCTATTCACCCCACCCCAACAAAGATTTTTTATTGAAATCTGTAAAATGCCTTCTTAAATTTTAAATTCAACAAAGAACAAACCAAATTAAATGAAAATAAAGTTCAGAATAAGCTGATAAAATATTATCAGTCAATCTGTTAGATGGAATAAAGAGATCTATTAGAAAAGTCTCTTTATATTTCTTCATGGGGAATCAATGTGAGAATAATTAATAGATTGAATTCCACAATGTCAACAATTATATTATCATCAGACAGTAATTCTATAGGTAATGTGTGTTGTGCTTCATAATCTCAAAAGAATATTAATAGCGACAAAAATACAAATCTTTGAATTAATTTTATAATTCATGAAGTGCAAATCTGTATAAACCATGTAAAGATACATGTGGAAATACATTTTGGTCTACGAGAGGAAAGGGTATTTGCCCAAACTCTACTACATACATGATGTATGTATACTATTTACATTTCCACTTCAAGAAAAAATGGGGTAGACTATATCATTTATAATCAAATTTCTCACAATCTTGGCTAAGTAAGGAATGTCAACTAGACTCTCAAACTACTCAAAGTTACATGATTTACATCTACAACATTAATCACAATGTAATGTCCAACAATTCCACAACTCGATCAAAACTGAAACAAAGGACTACACTGTCGAATAATTTATTGGACATTGTAAATAAAAGTACATCCTGCCTGTCTTTATCCTTTGAGAATACAATCTCATTATCTAAGACTAAAACCAAACTCAACAATCATTTTCATCATAAAAGACTCGATCCATCCAAATTCCAAACCTTAAAAATGATATGAGCTTGATTAGTGATTACCCTAATTTAACAACTAATCCAGTCTATGTCTGTTAAAATAAAAAAATATTAAAACAGCTGTTTTTCTCATATTATTATTATCTTAAGTAATTATCTACTTCACGATGAGAAAACATTTTCCAAACACAAAATGGATGGGAACTAAAGTAAATACCACATAAATAAATTACATATTTTGTTTAATGTATCTATTATTGTTATTATTTATTCGGCAAAAATAAAGAAAATCATTGAATACAAAACAAGAGTACATCGGTCTAGATCTACACGGATCTATATATGGAAAAGAGCCACATGGATGCTGGGAAAAGAAAAAGATTAACGGTAACTAACATTATGTTCTCATGTGAAACGAGATCTTACTTAGGCTTAGCTACTGTTCCATGTAAATACCGTAATGGAATAAGAATTAGACCCCTCTAGGCCTAGTACATTTTAAAATAAATGAGAATGAGTAGGCCTAGAATTTAATTTTTCTTCAGTAGTCTATGGATTTACGGGCCAATTAAATTAGGCTAGATCTAGGCATAATGGGCATTCATGATATCTCAAGTCTTGATAAGTTGATGTCTTTCGAGCTTTTTCTACACCTTAAGTCCTCAGGCTAATCCTTAAATTAATATTAAACTCCCTTGATCATTGATGACTGGAATACAGGTTTATTGCCTGGCTATAGAGGTCTAGACCTACATGTACTGATGTAGAAGTATTAGTATTGGCATTGCTTGCCTTGGCCAACAACAATTTGCTGCTTTTGATGATTTGATCTAGAGATTAGTGTACTGTAAAAGCCAGTAAAAAAGGATAACAAGTGACAAATATCTCCCACAACAATTTGCTAAGAATTATTCACTCTCCCATCAACCACAGTCTAGTCACTGACTCCAGGTGAAGCCAACATCAATCAATGATTCAGTTCAATCTCAATCAACATGATCAAAACAGAGCAGGTGTATCTTTCACTTTGTCTTTTAAATTCCATTTCATTTTCAGATACAAAATTACAATTACAACTAATAATACAGAGACAAACTTGTCACAAAACAGTAGCCTTAAGTCAAAAAGACAAAGTCTAAAGATTATAACAACAAACACTAACTTAACAAACAGTCAAAACTTTACAAAATAAAATAAAATGAAAAATGATAATTCAAAAATGAAATGTCTTGAAACCATCTTGCAAATACTAAAATAGGTGCATGCCATGATAATTGAGCGATTAAAAAAATGAATGAACATACCATTCCAAGGTGTGCTTGTGTCTTTCAGTTCAGACAGGGCCCATGGATCCTCCACCTCCTCCTCCTCCTCATTGGCGCCAGCAGGAGGCTGTTCGTCTGCAAGCAGAGTGCCATCTCGTTTCTTCTCCTTCACATTTTCGTCCAAATCCAAATCGAGAAGAACATCTCCGTTTGCAGCATGAGTGGCTCCCAAATCGACCTGAAATTTCTAAAGACGAGAGAAATATGTAACAAACTTAATCAAAACAAACACCGGTCATCTGGTCATGAGCCGGCGGTAGAATATGAAACATTGACTGATTGAGCTGGCGTAAAAAAAACAGAAGTTTCAGAACTTTTCAGAGAAAAGAAATCTTCGACTTCATCACAAATTCATGGCAAAAATATGTGCAAATTACCTTTCGAACCTCCCATTCAATTTGGTTTGTAGTAAAATCTACCACAGAATATGGCGGAGGCGGTGTCTGACTCGGACTAGGTATCCTCGATGGGACCAAAAGAGATGAACTAACTTTAGAATCCTCCATTTCAGGAGTGCTACTTCTTGGTGGCTGTGTCTCTAGAAAATTGGAGGCAACCATCTTGCTCGAGTGTCAGACATTAACTGACAAATCTTTGTAAGCGCCAAGTATCGCGTATTCGAACCCAGCCAATCAGCACGTCGCATATCGGAACCTCCCCTGACGTATCCCTTCATTCATATAGTTATTCGGAATCAGACGTACATGTGATGGCTCGTGGTGTTCACATGATCAGCAAGTCCATTTATTTATAGGGGTGCTTATACTCTCTTAAATAAAGTGGGGTTACAGTAAGCGGCAATATTTTTATCAGCAGTATCAACATTTATTCTCAAATACATCAAAAGTTAATTTTTTTAATTAAAATTTAATCTTATACTATCTAATTTTTTTTGTAAATACACTAATTTTCAAACCTTTTACCCTCATTGTATAGTCGATATAGCCCAATCTCTCGTTGTAAACATACGGTGAATTTGAGCACGTGTAGAACATAAGATACTACCGATCGTACCGTGGATGAACTTGTTATGTGTACCTTTCTTTTGTCCGTACGTCCGTTATATAATTGGCGCGGGCCCTGTTGTAGAATAGGAAGTAGGTCTATATCATAGAGATATATAACTACTAACTACTAACACGCCAGTATTGTTATTTTTTCCTTCGAGCTAATTGACATACATACAGGTGTATATCTTTTTTTTTTAACTTCCAAAATTGGGTTTTGATATTAGATTATTAGAAATATTCAATGAATTTATAAAACATGACTGAAAACTTGAACAAAATAAAGAGAAAATTATTTATTGACAAATGTCTTTAGATAATTGTTCAAATCATAATTATTAAAAATGGCCTACGCAGGTCACTGTAGTGATGGCCCCTATTCAATTTTTTAATTTGAGCAAATGAAGCGACGAATTCCTCCATTCACTTATGCACGGAGGTATCCTAGAGCTATGTTTTGTGTGTGATGTCGAATGCACTATCTTTGATCGCTATCTAGAAGTCTATACATGCGTTTTGTCACGGAACTGGGATCGAAAGCATTTGAACAAGCATGTGTATTTTGTGGTATATAGAAAGAACACGGAACTACCTATATCATGTTGATGAGTTAATTTCCTTCATAAACATTTGAAATAACAAGATTAAATAAGCAAATGAATCCATAGCCCTGTCCTAGTCATGTCACATAATGATAGTATAGTCTCGGAAGATTTCAATAGACGAATAAATAAATCTAATAACTATCTGACATATCCTCCATCTAATTCACTAATAATTTTTGTTTAATTGAAGAATAAATTCGGAGACTGACAACGCAAAAAAAAAGACATTTACTAAAAAAATAAAGAAATAGTAATTGTTGTTGAATGTATTTATATAATTATTTTTTTTTCTAAATTTGTTTTGCTCATTGGTGAAGCTGCTGCCCATTCTATGCACATACATGCAATTATAAACATGCATTTTCCATGCTGATCACCGTGTATGTTGTATTTCCATTATTCATTAATGCGAGCATAACGATAATAGTTTGTGTTTCTAATTCTAAAGAATGAACGATTAAAAAACATAACAAAACAAAAGAGGAGAATGAGGACAGGGTCCTAAGTTTGTCCCCCACTTCCCCCTCATGTTTGGCCAGTCTGTGGTGAATAATATATCTTCCTTGGGTGAACTTAAACTTTCTGTCTCCTCCACATGCACGACCGCTTCATACGAGAGGAAGGTCATGACTTCGGATAGCTGACCTATATAGCACTGACCATGGACTGACCTATTTCTGTTTCTATTTTTGTTTTGTATTTTGTTAATATATAGGGATTTGTTTTTCCCACTGAGTGCTCATCTCCCCACCATTTATATTCATCCCTTCCAACATCTATATAAAAAAAAAGGTGAAACTTTGTATGGAATTATGCCGAGGGCTTGTATTATTTTGTGTGTCAAGATTAAACGAGGATATTCATTGTGTATGTATCAGATGCACTTAATTTTGTCAAAATTATATCCCTCTAGTTCAATAACTGAATATTCCTGTCAATTATCTTTACGAATTAGATTGACATGACTCTTTTTACAGCCTAAAGATGTTCACCCGAAGTTCATTCATTAGTATAGTTTTTTTTAACCGATGAGTAATTAAATCACATTTATGCTTCTTCCACCATAGCCCGGAGGTATATTTTTTGTTTGGGAGGGCGGCGTTCTCTCTCATATTTTGTTAAAGTGTGGCAAGGAGGGAATCGTCAGAACTGAAAATGGGTTGACAGCCATTCCCTTATTTTCATTTGACCCTTACCATTTACGCCTTGAACTTGTATTTAAACTGCCTTGTTCAATATATAATTTAGTCAAATTTAATTCGAAGATAATACGATCCGATTTTGTTTACCTCTCAGTCTTCTGAGCTACTCTGATCAGTATACATGACATTTTCACGCTATAGTAGGTTTTTATAACGGTACATGGAGTTGAAGTTTTGTCAATGAAATCGTCTGTATCTCGTTCTTCAAAAGGCAAATACACAAAAAGCTCACAATTCAATCGATAAAGACCCTCCCCCTTGGTCTCATTCAGAGCTAAGCTTTTGTTTGCGCGGGGCGGGAAATTTGAAATGGTAAACAGTGGAAGCCAACTCTAGTTTGTATATTATGCACGGTTCACGCGCGGCGCCTAATGTCCAGTACTATACTAGTCTTCTTGAGTATACGCATATAGGTGGTAGGTACTCTACCAGCATTATTTCCCGATAGCTTGAGGTATAGACTCAACGTTTACCTTTTCAGCTTTCTTCTGAAGAGATTGCAATTAAATATCAGATTGGTTTCAGTTTGAAGCACCACTGGTTAGTTATAATCAGGGAGTTGGAATGTTTATATCATTTTCTTGGCCTTTTCTCAATATTGTAAACAATTTCATTTGGATAAATGCCAAGTACTGAAATCAGAAAGCGGGAATAGTAAACCGTGAAGTGATCAGTGGGTTTACATGCAGACAGTTATTGTTCACGTGCAAGGTAGATGGCACTTACATGACTGTCATGATTTCTTTAGTTTATTATAATACTCTCCCCCTAGTGAAAATTGAAACCGGATTTACTCGGCTATAAATTATTAATGGTCAGAACCGGACAAGGCCTATGATTTAATATACATATATATTTTTGTATGTGCGTGTGTATGTGTGTGTGTCCGTATGAATATATCGTCCCTATTTTCACGAAGTGACGGTAGTGAGGAAAATCGTAACGCAAAGTGAATGCTGTCGCTCTATATAATTATGTTTTATGAGCATCTTAAACTTTTTTTAAGGTAGACATTGAGGGTATAGATAGATACACAGATTAATGTTATACATGAACATGCCCATGTTGTAACGGTGTATACATGTTTATCTTTTTTTAAAGGTTGAAAACTAGCATCTGCATGTGCTTGTAAATTCTTCTCATTAAAATTTTGCGACAATTTACATAAATTTGTTAGGTATTCTTTCCTTCAAAATATCATTTGGGGGAAAGAAATATGAAACTTGATAATAATAAATTGGAGTACACGTGCTCTTGCACATACTGTATCATGAGTAGAAAAAAAACCAACGCAGGATAATTTTGTACATTATTTTAGCAATGAAAACACATTTTATGACCAAAATTACATACTGCATTACATCAGTAAATCGGAGGATGACGACAATAATTATTTTGTATGCAAGGTGAATCAACGGTATTTTAGGGGGGGGGGGGGGGGGGGGTACAGAGCACAATTTTTTTTTTTTTTTT